ACTGAAAGTGTGTTGAAATGCGTTGGTTAAAGAAAGAATCACGTGAGGTGTTTAAAATATTTAAAATTGTTGCTGTTTGCTTTCTCGTTTCGCAGGAAATCGGGTTTAGATCTACTAAAATCAAAATAGTTGGATTAGCTAGGAAGAGGTTTACAAATTATCAACTTATTGTTGAATGTTGTTTTAAAAATATTTTCTCATGATTCACAATTTTTTTTTTTTGACAAATTTTCGAGGTTTGGCATTCGCTGCTTTAAATTAATTTTTTATAATAGATTGTCCTTATAATTTAAATCTTTAAAACTGAAAGAAAATTATTGATATTAATTTTTTACAGTTCAATATTTTCTATATAATAACAATTTGTTTTCACAACTTATCCGTTTTTGTTTAACTGTTTAAAATAACAAATATACCATCCACTGAGCTATTTAAACCTTCACATTATTTAGAGGCGAAGCATAAATATTTAGCCTTCAAATTTATATCCCTTTTTTTAAGTGGTTATTTCTTCGCTTGCTCAAAATAAAAGAAAATTCCGCTACTGAGGTAAAACCATAAATATTATTTTGTGCTCAAATAGCTGGAAAATGCTCATAAATTAAAGTTACGTATACAGTGGAATGCCAGAAAATTCTTTTCTTGCCTGGGATTTTCCAAGCTCTTTTTCGCCATCATTACTTACGAAATTTCCCACAAAAGCTATTTATAAAAGGTATTTACACTAGATTTGGATGTTTTCTTTACCCCCTTTTTCGCTCCGAGAGCGGGAGAACAACAGAAAACAGCTGTTTGCTCTATGGCGCCCGATAGTAAAATGCACAAACAAACAGCAACAAAAGTAAAATAAAATGAAAAAAAAAAGAAAAGAAAAGAAATGAAATGAAAAAAGAAAACAAAAATAAATCACAAAATAGTGTAGAGAAGAGCAGAGACCCCGTGAAAAAGCTTCCTTTCAAAGCTTGCACCCGCCAGGTTTTTCGATCGCTCTCGTTTTATTTATTCCGAGAGCTTTCATTGAGAAGGCCCACGGAATGAAACCGGCCTGTCCGCCGGAAAATATCTGAGAACCCCGAACGCATCCGAACGCTCCGCACGTAGTAAATCCGCCGTATTCCGATTTTCTTCGACACGATTCTCCGATCGCCAATATCGCAATATCACACGGGATGCCTAATGATTTCTTTCAACCCTCATTAAAATTTTGGAATTAATTTCGATTTCGATTTCGATACACCCGCAGCAGAGCCAACGAATAATGTGAACTGCAAATTTAAATGTTAAATGTGCTGCAAATTAAATTCAAGTGCTGCCGGCGTCGCTGCTCGGGCGACAGCAAATTGCAGATCGCAATAAATTAAAACAATAAAAGGCAGCAGTGAACAGAGTGTATAAAAAAATACAGAAATTAAGCAAGACAAAAAAGAAAAAGAAAGACTGAAATCTACATAAATGATGTCGTTCTCGGTGCCAAAAAAGCGAGTGAACAAACAAAAATTAAAATAAAACAACAACAAAAAAACAAAAAACAATAAAATTAAGGCGACAAACCCTGTAAAATTGAACACAAAAAACACAAATTGAACGAAAGGAGAGAGTCGAGAACATTGAGTGAAAAATGGTTGGCAAAGTCTTGGGCATTAAAGACTTGGAGCAGTTTAGCAGCCGGCGCAGCAGTGTCTACGTCGATCCCGAGTGCGACAAGTTCTTCGAGCTGCCGCTCTTCATCGCGGCCAGCTCGAACGACATCACCACCAAGTGCCAGTGCTTCCAGTTCAGTCCAGGTAATAAAAACCACGACCACAGCCGCAGCCCATCAGTCGCCAAAGTCCAAACACGAACCCAAACCACCCATAAAAAAATCACAAAAAAAAAAAAAAAACCAACGATTGGTTATAGTTTATGCGATACCAAATTGTTTTGGAAGTGAGAGTGAATTAGGTAAACCAAAAGGTTAAAAGTAGGTGAGATAGAAGATAATAGGTTGTCTTTTGTTCATGTATCCTTATAAGCTTTAATAGTTTACCAAAATAATTATATAAAAATGTAATTAATCATAAAATATTTGTTGGGAAAAAAAAACAATATGTTACCCAAATTACGATACTTCTAGTTAAACAACTCCCCCAATATTTTCTTTGATATTAAAAAAGATTTCGAAAGCACTTGACAATTAACCTTGTTCTGATAGTTTCGAAAAATATAGAAAATGTTTCTAAGATCTTAATCTTGACCTATTTTTCATTAATAAACATTTTGCTTGTTCAAATTGTTTTTTTTTTCCAGTTACAGCCTTGTAAAAAAATGCTTTGGTGCTTATAAAAACTGCCTTGAACAGTAGGAAAATATTTCACGCCCGAAAAAAAAACCTTCTTAACATGTCTAGCACCAATAAAACTTAATTCAGTCATAAAGAGTACGAGAAAACAACAAAAAATAAAATCAATCAGCTGCGGGAATAAAAATGTTTTATTTTCTAAAAACTGCCAGGTGAAGTGGAAAACAATGAATGATATTTTCGTGTGTGTTTTCATTATCATATAAAAGGCGATAAATTCTTTGGATTTGAATCAAATGTTTTCCTTTATTTGGACTCTCTATATAATTGCCGATTTAATTGCATTACGTTTTGTGCTCTTAATCAGATTGCACAATTTTTCAGTGTCAGTTTAGCGTAATTAAAATATGTGAATAAATCGCGAGTGCTTTGTCTTTGATAGTTATTTATTTATAAGTATGTTAGTAATCTGACATAATAACCAATTAATGAGGCATTTTTTCTGTGTGGTTCGTTTTCGCTTTCACAAACAAATGAAATTGATTGTGTTGATAGGAAAATTACTGCATCTGTTGTAAGTGGAACTTGCAGTATATATGGTGACGATATACATCGCAGTGTTTCCATATTGGTTGTTCGGAAAATGCAAATGGATCCGCGAGATGCTGTAGATGGGGATTAATTACCCCAACAAGCGGCGCAGCGAATGAGCGTAGCTTCACTCAATTATACCAGTTTGTATTGTTATTGCACTTGCTGCAATGAAAGTATACTCACATCCCGTATCTTATCGCTTTCTAGTAATTTGATAGTTCTCCACGAACTTTTATTGGCCTAATGCTAAAAGATTTGTGTTTTAGTGAGATTCTAAACACTTTTTAAATTGCCACAATTTGAGCGAGCAAATAAATCAGTGTGTTTTTGTTGTGTGATCAGTGTGATTTGTTGGTCGATATTGATATGGCGCTGCCCGGCGCTATTTCGATGGATTTCCACCTTATCAGTTATCGGCGATAAGAGGGCATGCAAAAATCGATCAGCTGTCGCTGCCTGTAATGATACATGTCCGCAGTGCAATCAATTACCCCCACACCGATAGCTAATCAATATGGCAGCACCGATGAGGTTCAATGTGGCATTGAGGTGGGCAGATAGCGGAGAAGGGGGGGTGGTGATTGGGTCTTGGGGTTGTCCTACATACGCAGTTGACCAGCTGACCGGGTTGATAGTCGATCTACGGTTGTCACCCAATCGACACATTTGTTGCACGAAATACGAGGGGTATGGATTCAACTTAGTACACGGAATTTGCTGTTAAATGACTTTATTCGATCGAGTCAGCAATTATATTAAATAGGGTATAATTATTATATCTATTTCAAGAAGTCTTGGGTGTATAAAGTCTTATTTATGTATGTGCTATGTATGTTCTATCTAGATCGCAAATCACTTAATTAACAATACATTTAAGCTGTTAATTAAAAAATTTAATTATCTAATTTAACATTCAATTGCTTCTCCTTATTTTTATTAATTGCAAAACTGTAATATCAGCACTTAGGCGACGGACAGATAGTTATACTTCTAATGCCCTCGCTGACTGAACAAATAATTCCACAGACTAAAATAAATAAATTATAGATAACATTAGTTGTATCAAAACATAAATAAATTTACTGGGAATTTTATAAAGCTTCTGCTAGATAAAAGCACTTAACTCTTTTGTGATATTTTCTGACATGGACTATTTCTTTCCCAAAAAATTTCAAAACGACAAACTCTCCCAGTAACTGACCGCTAATTCATAAAATCGAAACACCTGAACGGATTTATTTGGGGGCAAATTTATTTTTGAGAGCTTTGTTGAAAACTAGCCAAAACCAAATATGAGCAAAGGCCAACAAGAATGTTGCGGCATGTTCATCATAAGTAAATATAATTTTTTTTTATCAATGCTTCACTTATCAGATGCACTTTCTCAAGTATTTTATTTTGACCACTTGTGACATGGGTAATATCGCTGCCTTACACACGAAATTTAACTACTTATCGGTGGTTCACAAGTATTTTTATATCTTGAGCTGTGTGGGTCTAGAGCGCCTCGCGACTTTGATGATAGTGGAGAAGGTTCCTTTGCACTCCCGTTTGAATGGCTTTGGGGCAATGATAAACTCGAGAACCTCCATTATTAGCCATAACAAAAAACAATCGTGTCATATGATTGCCAAAGTTAAGTGCCAGAAATGCCAAAAACGGCAGCCTCGACCACTTCAGGTCTCCGAGTTTGTTTTTGTCCTAAAGATCGGTTTCAGTTAATGACCTAACCTAAGAGGGCTTAACTTCAAGACTAATCAAATAGTTCCTGTATTTCTAGCCCTGCAATTAGTTTTTGTTTTAAGTTAGATTAGAGTTTTTAAGAGATTAAATGATACCACGATAATGGGATTACTGCAACGGATTTAGGTTGGGGATTAAGTTTATTACACTTCTAATTGTTAAGTGTTTTAAAGGATATGTCCAAAAGCAGACAACGTCTCTAACAAGTTTTCATTTCTGAATCGATCTCTATATAAATTATTTAAAAGAGTAATGAGTAAAACCTTTCAATGGGTTATTAACCTGTTGATAAACCCTATTAATAAACAAATAACCACTATTGGGAGTAATCTACTCCCACGGGGAAGCCTAAATCTAATCGGCGTTTCACTATCTTTGTTTACAGGCAAAGAGCCGGCACTGCGCTCCTTCACCGAGATCCAACAGCTGTTGCAGCAGGCCAAGAAACGTGACGTGAAAAACATACTCAGGGAGAACTCGTGGCCCATTAATTCCCCGATCCGATCCCAGCTATGGCCGTTGCTGTGTGGCCAGCACCAGACCAAGCAGCAGATGCTGGATGGCTTTTACTGGGAAATGGTCCACCAGGTGAATGCTGCACCCTGCTGCTGAACCCGAATGAGAACTTTATTTAATGATTATGTACCTACATTTTTCAGGTCTTTGGCACCACGGAGCTGTCGGAGAAACCGATCATGCTGCCCGCCTTTGTGGACGCCACCCACTGTTTGCCCTATCACTTGACCAGCACGGGACGAGCCGTGGCCGATCGCATCGTGAATGTCCTGGGCTACGACTGCCCCGATATTACCTACAGTCCAGTATTGTATCCGATTACATCGATACTTTTGCATTTCATGTCGGGTAAGTTATCGCCATCGGAGGGCCAACACACTCCACTACACACACCACACACACCATTCACTTCTCTCCATTGCTCACACGTGAATGTCAATATTTGATCGAGTCATTTTTATCGCCTCCACAAAGCACACAAAAATAAGTGGCACAATTGTAAGGCTCTACGCTCCACAGGCCTCTCGTTTTACTCCCTATAGGTATATATCTCTATATACATGTGCTATACTATATGCGGGGATACTCGGCGCGTATCACAGTTGGTTGCAAATTGATGTATCGTGATTTTCTGACTAATTGATTTGGTCAACATGCAATGAGCCACCAAATAATTTCTAATGTAAATCTTGTTGTTCCTTTGTATTGTCAGTACAGTAAAAAAAAACGATAATGTACGACTACTCACCTTGAAAGATGTCTAAATCTTTAAGAAGGGTATTGAATCAAAATCTTTGTTTGTATTAAGATCGATTTCGTTATAGTTTCTTAGCTTTACCATTGAAAATACATATTATACTCGTGGGTTCCACCGTATCGCACTGTACTTGACCATAGTCAAATGATCAACGTCTAACTGTCTGCTTTAGTTCCGCATTTGTTGTTGTTTTTGGAACATTTTTTTTTTGTCGTACTACTTTATTATCAGCTAATCATTACTTTATTGTTGTTATTGGCGACACAATAACAAACTCTCAAATATTAAACGTACAGTATAGATTGTTTACTCGGAATTTGGCTCCATCCAGTCAGGTGTAGAATGGGAATGAGTAAAAATCCGAGCGAGATTATTGCTGAAACAAGATGAAAATATTATTGTAACCTTCAGAGATCCATTTCGGAAGTTCATCATCATCATGGGAATCTCAAATTGCTGATTTGGAGGTCGCACCTCCAGATTTAATTGACAGCTGGTCATGTGCCTGCCTGACCCACTGATAACCTCTCGGTAATGGCGATAAGTATTATCTTCTATAATCTAATCAAATGCAGATGTAGGAAACCAAACTAGATTCCATTTAGTACAGCAACAACCAGATAATCTATAGATCTATTTGTCAAAGGTTTCACTCAAAGAATATTTATCTCATGAGCAAATTATACCGATTTCGTTTGAAATTTAAATGTGTGTATAATTGTAGCCGCTTATGCGCCCATTTGTGGGAGCCGCTGATAAGCTAATTTTTTTGAGGAGGAGGTCAGACAGCCTGTCATTTCGAAGGTTTGTTTACACTGTGCAAAACACTTTTGCCCTCCTTTGTGTCTGTCTGGACAGACATCAAAATATTCGATTCCTGTCTACGTCTCAAGGTATTTTCTCTCCATCCAAAATAATCGGTTTTTGTCTCAGTTAGTTTAAATAAAAATAGGCACAAAGGGCAAATTTAAAACTTTTTTATTCAATATTTAATATAACATGAGAAGTATTCTTTCTTTGCCTAAATTAACTTAGCACCACCCATTGTTTATATATGCGCTCTCTGTACATGACATTTCGAATTGTTTACTTGCCGAACGATAACTAATTAATTTGTAAACCACATTTTAATACTCTCATAAATATTAAAAGAATAGTACTTGACTGACAAGCTGCACTGAAACGGCTAAAAAAATTCTCCAAAAAATGTCAAAGGCAATTGAAATCAAATAAAATTGAAATCAACTCGTTTCATTATTGAATATTCTTCACTTTAACGCCTTTTTTCGTGTGTGCATTTTCAAGTTCAGGAGTCGCACATAAACAAATGTTTAAAGTGATATAGATAGCCCATGTGCATATGTCGGTCTGTTTGCATTTCGTTGTTGACGTCATTGCAATTCGATTCGGTTCGATTCTGTCTTCTGTTTGCAATTTGCGAATTTCGCCTTTGGCCATTTAAAGTAAACAGAGCAAAAGACGGCGAAGAAATATAAAAAAAAGGGGAAGATTTCAAGGCCCAATTGGGTTTCTTTTAGTTTACTGACACACATTTACAGGTAGTTTTAGATCTGTGACATAATTTGAGCGTTACTGCTTTGTATAAAACAGAAAAAACTTAATGTTGTGAGCCTACTTTTCCACTAAGATTTCCATTTGGTGTAAATAAAATATCAGTTACTATTTGTTGATAAGTCTTGTTAGTGAAAAAACGGCATTGATTGTGTATTGATTGACAATCATCAGACTGTGCTTATAAAACAATTTTTATTATATTTTTGTGGTTTTGACTTTCTGGGATTTTACTTACTGCCCGGCTAATAATGAGCACGTGAGCATAAAATTCACATAAAACGCAGACGAAAGACAAGGCAAATGCGCATATACATATATGTGTGTACTTTTTTCGTTTATGGTTTTGTTTGCCAAATCTATTCTTCTCCGTTCTCCGTTCTCCGGTTTGCGTTCTCCAATCTTTATTCGCCGTTCTGATTCCCCATTGTTCTGTTTGCATTTGGGGCCCTACCCAAACATTGTCGCCTTGCTGATATTTGTTTTGCCCGATTTTTATATGGAGTGCTCATCATCACATCAAATGCTTGGCAATGCCGGGCACGCACAATTCAGATTAAAATATATGGAATATTCTCCAGTACTTGGCTTTTATGGCCCTCGTATTCTGACGTCAGTCTTGAGTCAGGTAGAGAGTGAAAATCGGAATGTAACAACATTTGCATTCTTCTGCCCTTTTTCCATTCATATTCATGAGCCAAGTAAACAAACGAAAGGGGGAAGGTTTTCAAGGTTTCCTAGCTGTAAAAGGGGGCTTTGACTTATATCTGATATATATATCTTTTTTTTATAGTTGCACAGAGCAAAAACTAAGATATAACCTCCCCTTTGTAGACTTTTTAAGGGTATTTAAAGCTTGCTCATATCACTGTTAAATTTGGCTTCGTCTGCTTCGTTCCGCCAATTAGCAATTTAAAAATGTTATTTTCGCTTTTATTTAAATTTATTAAGTGTGCTGTATGTCTTCTTTCCGCTTTTGTTTTTTTCTTGAAATTTTTGCATTGTTTATGTTTGAGTTTGTTGAGCTAATTAAAGCAGAGCAGCAGATGGATTCCTGTTTTCTGTTCTTCTATCTCGGTTGCGGCTGTTTGGACTATCTTTTGGCTATTTTTAGTGGGCCCATGTCTCTCATAAATAACTCGGCACGTGCTCTCTGACGTCTACCGACTTATAATTCTGTCTCGCTAGCCAATCGACCTTTGTCATTATTTAAATATAGTTAATCCCGGCAGAGAGATATATGTGCTTTCTAGTTTACTTTTGTTTCTTTGGCGCCTTCTGTTTTTCCCAGAGCATCTTTGATTAAATTCAATTGGAAATTGTTTACTTCTGCTGTTGGCTTTGCCTGATAATGATGATGAGGGGTCATTAAAATTTGAGCTGAATTGTGCCGAGCAGAACGCAAATGTTGGCGGATTATTGCAATTGCAATGACTTGACTGACGTGCGTCATGCTCTATAAATAGCCAGGAGAGGACCCTTAAATATTTAATAAACTTATCAAATGTTTGCCCACTCACTATCCGCCTTTCCGCAACAGATAAAGAAGTTCAGCCTACTCTATATATGCACTGCAGACTCTGCTCCGATCCGCTGGCAATTGAGAGCAATCTGGGGGAACTAAGTCGAACCGCCTGGGGCCAGTGTAATCCACTGATAAGCCGGCAAAATCCACTGATAAGGCCCCTTTGTTTACCCTGCGGCGTTTGAAACTAATTAAACTTTGTAATGCAGCAAATCAATGCGACGCCCGGCGACTCCTCTTATCGCCCTGCAGAAGTTCAAGTCGGTTCAGTAGTATCCTAAATTGAATTTAAAGTCCGCTTACTCCCCCAACAGAACTCTAATTGCTAATTGATCGGCGGTGTGTTTACCCAATTACATTTTAAATGCATGACAAATATTTTGAGGTGCGCTAATGACTTGCTCACGACTGTCTGAAAAAACAACTCGAGCAAAACTCCGACATTGTATTTATAGCTCAGAGCCGCCACACACACCACATTGACATTGCATAATTTGATCTAATTTCGAAATCAAATAATCAGATCCCACATACAGCGGGTTGTTGCGGAAAAATTGTGCCAGCTAATTATGGAAAATTGAAGAGGGGCGTGGATGGGGGCGGGGCGGGGAAATGGCGATGGCGATGGCGATGACGATGGTCAAAGTGCACTCCACTGACGGATGTTCAACGCATTCTCAATTTAATTTGCGCTGCGTCATTGCGGTAATTCAGTGGCGACGACCGTATATATGTATATTGTATATATGCACACGAAACCGTCTTCTCCCGCTGCCCCACCTTTGGATTCCGATTTTGTCCACCACAATTGCCACAAGTCAAGCTGCTGCAGTTCCACAATTAAATTAGAAGCGGATCTGGAATAAAAGGGGTGCGGGGGTGGGAGCTGCATAAATTGTGGCTAAGGTTAGGCCTGTTATTAAATAGATAATTGTTAGAAAAACTGCCATACGATCCCACTTGAAGTGGCAACGGGGCGTATTGAGTATCAAATATTACGTATACGTATGATACTGTGGGGGGAAACTGATTGAACGATTAAGAAAAGGCCTATTTATCAAGGTTTCTGCTATGTATTGCTTTATATCAGAAATAAAGAATGTTACGTTACCATAAATAATAAATAAATTTTAATAAACACAAAATTTTTTTTAAACACATTTCTTTTACCTTACAGAGGAGGAGGCGTACATGTGTTTGGCCGGTCTGGTGGGCAGCAAGGAAAAGGTATTCATCAATCAAACCAAACTACAGCACGAGGTCACCTGGAAAACGGTGATGCAGATAGCCAAAAAGCACACGGTATGTGATAAAAAAACAAAAAAAGACCCCTTCTTTATTAATCAATCAAATGCTAATCGAAAGTGTTTGTCCTGCAGAAAAGTGCAACTTCGTATTTCCAACGTATTTGCCCGGGTCTGAAGCTGGAGCGCATCTTCATGGACTGGTGCTGGTGGATTCTAGCGGGTCTACCCTTCCAGCATCTGGTGCGGATCATGGACTGCTATTTCCACGAGGGCATCAAGGTCCTGTACCGTGTGGCCCTTGTCATACTCAACCTGTTTCACAAGGAGTGCCAGTCGAACAACGAATGGAGTCCGGATAATATTAAAAACGACATTGGCAATGCTCTAATCAAGTTCTGCAAGAAGATACCAGTGTCACCGGCGAAGTTGCTCCATGCCGCGTTTAGTATTAGGGGACTGAGGTAGTTTTAAAACTAAAAATTAAACTCGTAATCACATCACATTTTAATGACAAATTACATCTCTTGCAGTACCCAGTATATTTCTAGAATATTTATCAAGACTGAAATGCTACTAAAAAGCCGTTCCGTGCTCACCAGCGGTTCAAAGCAATTAATCAAATCGCGTTCAAGTGATAATCTGCCCACTAGTCAGTCGCAGGTCAACATCCAAATGATGTCGCACACCTTGACCATTCGAGAGGTATGTGAACCTAATCCCCTAATCCAATCGACACGTCCCCTAACCCACCATCACACAGTATACAGTACACAGTACACAGAATACAGAATACAGAATACAGAATTGAGAATACAGAATACCGAATACAAACAGAAACCGAGTTAGGCATTCCTTAAGTTAGTAATGATCCAAATGAAACTATTTACACAGCACAGCACTATAAACAAAACACCTTGTCTAATGGTAAACTCTGATTTATTTTTATTCGTTTTCTGTTTATGTTCCTCTCACAACTTCTTCAACTCTGAAAACCAACCAACGCACCCAAAAAATTAAACAAAACCAGAAGCTGCACTCCGAGAGCTGTCGCAATTTGGTATGAGGCTGGAAAAAGCTATACAAAATTATTATTAATGAAGACAATACTGATAATGCCGATGTTGGATTGATTCTGCTTGTTCTGTTGATTTTCGTTCCACACTGCCTTTGAATGAGTTGAATCCGAATTTACTTTCCATTTCAATTTATTGAGTTTCTCAAGTCGAGATTTGAAAGCATGAAATTAGGGAAATTATTATTTTTAATTTAAGGCAATAATGTGTATATACGAAGCGTACATTTTCGGAATTATCTGGATCGAAACTCGATGATTTAAGTCCAGTTTATTCTCAACCTCTCTCCCCAAAACCGATTCGACTCGATTTTTGTGTTCGTTCTGCTTCCACTTGACTTTTGTGTTGTGTTTTTTTTTATCTCTGTCGTTTATTATTTCGCCGAATGAACTAACTTCTTGCCACTTTTGTTCCGTTACTCTTTTCAATCAAAGCAAAAGCACAGCCTCAACAATAACCACATCTATATTAACCACACAGTACAGCTTTTTATTCGTTTTTGTTGCTTTCTGTTGTAAAAGAACACAAAAAAAAAATGCAAAGCCAATACTCACATACAAAAATACATAAACAAACCAAAATCCACAAGTGAAATTGCTCCTTATATGAAATCTATATATAAAATGTTATTTCTATTTTTCTTGTACTTTTTTTGCTGCCTTGGCAACGAATGAATGAATGAATATTAACGATACAACAATAATAATAATTGCAAAAATACAAAATACAAAAAACAATATAAATTTGCGTACGCTTGATTAATGTATACATACATGTTCGATATCGATGAAATACATTTCAACGGGTTCATTTGGCGCATTTGGGTGCATACTGTTAAATATTCCATCCATCATGATTATGTATAAAAACTATAGGGCGAAAAGTCGCCCGGTCATAGAGCCATCGCGATGGGCGTTTATCCCATACACAATCTGAAAAGTCAAGCTTGTAAGAACGAAGATGTAAGTGAAAGTCAAAGTCCACTCCACTCCACTCAACTCCACTGAACTCCAATAAAAAGTCAATCAACAATATCCCCACTGAGATACTACCCACACCACCCAATGTTAATCGTACTTTAAATCTATATATAAATCCAATATTTATGAAAGCTTGGCTCACGTTTTGATTCTACATACCATTCAAGTCACAACAACTGCATGAAGTGCCAGAATTCGTTTTTAATCTGATAGAAATTAGTTGAATGAGAAAATTTTTAATTTTTTTGTTTTGTTTTTGTTTGTTTTTACAATTTATTTTAACGGTTTTTATCCGAAATGTTATTCATTTTGAGTTTGTTAAAATGTAGAGTTGGCAAAACTTCGCTAATAAATATTTTAATTTTACAAAAAGTTTAACTTTTTTTAATGTAATTATACGTTTTCAAGATTATCGATTGTAACGAAAAACCAAAATAGCGGTCCTTATAAAACAATTGGCCATATATTTTAGGGTGAACATTTTAGGAGAGTCAGCTAGCACAACTGTATCCACGGAACGGTGTATCCATAAATCGTTTTCATGTGTCCCCCAGACCTCATCCGCCATATTGCATATAATTTTTTGCTATATATCCATCTATATCTTTTCATAGCATTTTGGTTTGCCGGGCACAAAGAATTTCATAAAAACCTGGACGGATAGACAATTTGTAAGCATTGCATTGCATATTGAAAACCCTCCAACCTGTTTTCCCCACTCCATCGCCACATTACAACCCATTCCTTAATTCCATCACAAAAAAAAAAAGAAAAAAAAAACACAAATGAATGCAATTCCTCAAAAAATTCCCATACAAAATTTAAGAAAAAAAAAGTTTTCCATTCCGTGCCGTCTTAGAAAAATGTTTGGGCAAGTCTTTGTCTATGTAGAAGTGTCATTGTCCTGCCGTCATTAAATGTTAATAGTCTGCAGTTCATCTGAGAATCGAAAGAGTCACCAAAAAACATAAATTAAAAAGATCATAAATCAGCTTACAGTTTGAGAGCCGCCGAGCCACAGTTTGCAATGCGCTGCCGCGTCGCTGCCGTTGCTTTGACAGTTTGACATGAACTGCTGCGCCGTAGTTTATACCTGTAGTTCTTAGCCCTCATCATCGAAAGTTGTTTGCCTCGTATATGTTACTTAACCCTGGCTTTTAATTGTTTTTTCGTTGACTTTTGGCCTTTTTAGTTCATGTTATTTCACTCTACTTTATCCACGCCAACGTATTTTGTTCTGTCATTGGCTAATTGCTACCCCTTTTTCAAATACGTTAATCGTAGTCGTAGCCAAGTTAAAACCTCCAATCGCTGAAAATGATTTGCTAACAAAGATCCCACTCGTCTTCCCATAGCTATTCACGCTGTGGTCCTGGCTGCCCGTGCGGATAACAATGTACCAACCGGTGCTGCTCTACACCACCGAGGAGCACGGCTGCTCGCTGACCACATTCTACGTCCGGGTGGAGCAGCACGAGCCCACGCTGCTCATGATCAAGACGTGCAATAATGAGGTAAGTCTACCAACTCAAACAGCTATGTGGGGGTAATGATTTTCCATTTCTCAGTTGATTTTTAAATGTAATAAATTTAGAAAGTAAAATTTGATTACCAAAACGATCCTTGCTTTTAGGTATTTGGAGCATACTGCTCATCACGTTGGTTTGAGAGGAATGTGAAAGATGACAAGGGCCAACGACAGGCCTACTTTGGCACCGGCGAAACCTTTTTGTTCTCCCTTTATCCGGAGCGAGCCAAGTACCCCTGGGTGGGCATTGAGGGCGACAAGGATCTGGGACACAGTTCCGAGCTGTTTATGGCGGCCGACTCGAAGATGATAACCATTGGTGGCGGGTAAGTTGTGCTGCTCGCAATGCCATCATTCTATTCACTTATAAAATGTTTACACCATTCCGCAAATAGCGAGGGTCAGGCCATTTGGATGGACGAGAACATACGTTTTGGCAAGACGGACAGCTGCAAAACCTTCAACAATCCGCCGCTGTGTCCGTCCGGCGACTTTGAGATCCGGGTGCTGGAGGTCTACGGCTTTGTGGGCATCTAAAAGAACTCCACTCCTCCTCTGTGTGACCGATATTGCCCGCCGATGATCAAGTGCTCAGCCAACCAGCTCGACCTTCCCCCCGCGTTTCCTACAACCACTCAAACACCTGCAGATTGCTTTCGTTTCCGCCATTACGGGCGGATGATGATGATAACAAGATGAGAAAATGTGTAAACATTTATAAAAGCTTATTTATAAATATGTATCGAAGGTGGCCAAGCAGCAAAAGTATGCCACAGTCGTCGTGTTAATGTTTAATGTTAATGAAAAAATGCAAAAATGCAAAAAGCTAAAACAAATTATATATTATATAATGGAAATACTCTGTGAGTTCATGTTTCAAAACGCAAAGCTTTGAAATTACAATACCCTAGTTGTTATAACCCCTTTACATATATACATGATATCTATATAGAGAAGCATATACATAATGAATTATTATAAAGTGTATATCTAAATGTAAAACGTATTTCTATAGCCATGTACCGCAGCAAAGAAAAAATATTCCTTAAAAATCGAAAGCAGAAAACAACACCAGAAAACTTGGGCTGCAACTTTATTATTGTTTATTAGCGTTATTATTTCATTTAGTTCATATATATATATATGTGTATATTATGTATTTTTTCTTTCTGTAAACCAAATTTACTGACTTGACTGAATTCGTTATTAATGTTATTAATATTATTATTGCTATGTGTATAGAAAGTGTAACTTGTAAATTGCATTGAAAGCAACCGAATGTTTCTGAAAGTTGTCCCCTATTGGTCGCAAAATATATAGATAATGAAAAACCAAACCTCTTTCGATTAGTGCTGCTGCTGCCGCCAATAATATGCTCAGATACTACAGATATATTCTATAGTTACATAGCTCCCAATTGACATAGATAACATATATAAAGCTAATGCCCTTAACCAGCAACGGAATGTGCAGTCACTTTAAAGTGCAAATGGAGGAAAAGAAAGTAGCTGGCAGTGGAGAGCTCTCACCCATGTGCAATTGATCTCAAAGCGAAAAACGAAAACGGAAACGAAAAACAAAGAAATGTATTACAAGTTGAAGGCCGCATAAGTAGGCATAAACAAAAACGGAGAACAATCAATAATTATTTTAAGATTCCATTCCATTTTCAATACCAACGAAATTCTTTGCTCACCTCCACCCGAAAACTGCACGTACACAAAATTTTTGCACACTTTTCTAGTCAATTTTTATGTTTAACAAAAAGAACATGGTGTGTTTGCTCCCATTTCGCTACAACTTAATATTCATTTGCCTTTTGAGTGACTGCAAATTCCGATGGTTTATTGATCGTTGCACTACGCAAGCAAATTGTTACAATTTAATGGAAAGACCACAACGAAAATCGAGGCGTAGGGACAGCAGTGGCCACAGATTGCAGGAAGTGACTGGCAACACTCCACAACCATTGCATTGAGGAGCTGGTACTCCACAAATCGCCAACACAAACCCCTCACCCAAGAAAACGATCAAACACCTCCATCCAAACGCAGGTCACCTGCAGTCTGTGGTCTGTGGAAAGAGCAGCAGTGGAACGGCAAATGATAAATATGAATAGTTTTTAGGTTTTAAACAAACTCTCTGTGTTGTTGTTACTATGATTCAATGTATATGTGTACGCAGCGTTATATAACCGAACTCTACATTATATACCCAACTGCAAAAATAGTTGTACAAGTTGATCAATACAAAGCTAAAAAAAAAGAAAAAATATGAGAAAAGCAAATCTGTTTGTTATTTGTTTCTGAGTGTGAATCGAATTGAAACAATAAGTTTTACTATATTTGGTTGACTAATTCTTACACGCCGATGTTATGAATTGTTGATAGACCTTAAGTTGAGGAGTGCTTGGCAAGGATTGTATTTTGGCATTGACGCGGCAGTTGTCCTCGAAGGATTCTCGGAGATTCCCGGGGGCACTGTCAACATGGACAGTATTTGGTAAAGCAAAAACAAAATAAATCTTTTGTACATAGTTTGTTTTCTATCTGAATTGTTCTCAATGTGTAGTTTATAAACGATATCTTGATAAATATCCATATATTTATATTTGAATGTTATTTATGTGTAGCCCAGAAAGTGACATGAATATAATCCGCAGCTAAAAACCCATAAACATGATAAACCAACGTGTTATCTATATACCCACATACAATAATTTATACAAGAAACTGGAAATATACAATATATGTAAATCTGGATGTGTTTGACGATCAACAGGTATATTGATTAAAAATTGAAACATCGATTATGTGCATCAATTTTGAAATGTTATTTTTATTTATTTTATGAATATTTTGTAATTTATAAATCCTAATTACAATACACACAAACACATACACATACGCATACACAAACACACATACACGCAGATAAAGTAGGAGGCGAGTAAATTTTATTCAATAAATTATATTAAAACAAACATGAATAATTATATTATAAAATGATATATGTATGTTAAATCATTTTAGTGGATGTATAAAAACAAAGGAAACAAAATCAAATAAAATGAACAATGAAACAAAACATTTGACCGTTCTTTGTTATTATTTTGTGGGCTTGCTGATAAATAATATATGCTATACTATAACGAGTTTGAGTTTGGTTTCGAGGTTATTCACTTTAAAACTAAAAAAAAAAAAATCATTTTGAACTTAAAGTGACTTTGACTAAAAAAAAGCATAAGTTCGACCGTAATATTTTTATTTTAAGTGAGTGTTAATAATTTGGTTAGAATACAACAAACTGTAATAGAATTCTCGAGTATATAATGGGTAATAGGATACATTGAAAGGTCTTCCTTCTAAGTGCCTCTCATTTTCCCTAGTTGGTAAGTAGGATAAGAAGACCAAGTACAGAAAAGGCACTGGTCAATGACAGTGTGATTATTCCTGGGGCAGCATTGCACAGATCCGTGTTGCAGAGTGTACATCCCAGAAAATTCATGAATGGCACCACCGGATCCGGCCCGTCATCGCAATTAATGCCCATGGGCGAGGAGTCGCCAAAATAGCAGGAACGTCGCACAAAACGCGTGTCTCCAGGCACTGCCAAGAAATCAGGTGTTTGGATGGGGGATTTCTTAACCTAAATTCCCGAAAAGATATACTCACTGCCTTCGTGGTACTTTGTTAGGCATGTGGCCTCCGCTCCCGAGGCTCGCATGTTTGCCACCACATCGCAATCCGTCGTGGATATGTCATCGCCCGCAAATTGCTCCCCACACCCTGGATTATTGACGGAATCGCATTCGTAGCAGGTAATGGCCCGAGCTGATGACGACATGCGTAAATACAAGTATGTGTGTCAACGCGAGCACACAGAAAAGAAAACAATGAATTGAAATTGTGCTAAAAATTTGCGACACTTTGTATACATTGTGTGTATAAACGTTTACGAATCATTCAACAATCATCATTTATGTTCCCTTACATTGAAGATCATTCCATTTGCTAAAGTTATTTCTTTAAATTTTTCAAGAATTAATTATCTTTATTAACCTTCTTTAAAATTGATACCGACATTCCATTCATTTCATAACTTTTTTTAAACATTGTTTCTTTTTTAAAAAAAACAATTTTTTAAATTTTTTGCAACTTAGTATGTATTTATCGTACAAACTTTCATTCGTCATTCAATTATCTTCTTATATGTTGACCAATTCTTATACATAGCTCTTTTGTACATTTTTATGTTCTTTTAAAAAGCAAGTAAATTCTTATCTTCTCTTGAATTCTGTTGTTTATTGAAACTGATTCATTTTTAAGCTCGATTATTACCTCAATGGAATGTGTTTCTTTTTAACTATATTGAGCTTGCAAAGTTTTTAGCTCTTTAAATATTGGTTTTATTGCATCAAAGTGTTTAAAAGAGTAAGCTTATTTTCTATTAAGGATAATTTTACAAAGAAGTTTTTTGCGAAAAAAGGAATTCTTGGAACAACAATTCTTTAATTTAAATGGAAAACCAAAACCATGCTGTTTATTTAGTTTTTTTTCTTAAGACAAAAACAATCTATTCGGTCAATAAAACATATGGAAATTATTTCCGGTGCAGGAATGGGATGAGATGCGGGCGGTAAGCTCACCTGAGCTGGCCAGCGTGACGAGCAGAATGAGCGCGGTAAGCGCACGCAGTGCCATCAGCGCCATTGTACCGCCCCCGAAAACAGTTGATCCCACTGTCCGGCGGTCGCGGTGAGTCAATAGCTATGGCGATGCCGATACGTGCGCGAATACAGATGTTGTCTTCTCAGCTGCCGGACCGATTTTAATCACATGTTAGACCCACTATATAGCCACGAACCGCCGATCACCGACCACCGACCACCGACTCGAAGCGTTGCACACACGCGACTGAACTGAACTAAACTGAACTGAATGAGCGAACAATCGCATTCAGAATGTGAATTTGATTTTCATAACAGATTTTCACTTCTCCTTCGTTGGCATTTTCCTCGCGAACGTGTGTTGACATTGTGGCTAACGAGGAGGAGGTGGGTTTCCAAAATTTATAGCCAGGTCTTCTGCCCTTCCCTTTCCTTTCCTTTCCTTTGCCAATATCCATTTATCCCAGCCAAAAGTTCATTAGTGGCATTTGAACAAATAAACAATTTGGCATTCTGTGTAAAATTAGTTTTTATTAGTTTGTTTTTGAATCGTTCAAAATTTGTTTGCCAGCTTTTCGGCTCATGTCTACTAATGTTGCTCATACGCCCTGTTTGCCGTTGATTGGTCATTAATACAGTGGGACAGATTAGGACTAAATATTGTTTGCTAAGTGGGATTTGTTAAATTATAGATCTGGGCCTACATTTAACTAGGTTTACTTAAGTTATTTTTGCCTTTTATTGTGCATTTTGTGCCCCAAATTTTCGATGCGTCTTCCTGTCATTTCAGAGTAGATGAGGTGCCAAGAGAAACAAGACCAGACTGGCGAAGATTTTCCAATTATCCGCTGGACTTTCGGCTCCATTGCAGTAGTTCTCGTTGTCGCACACATGACAACTGGTGTTTTGCACCGCCATCAGTGTGGGATCCATTTTGCACCAGACTTCGGTGGCATTTACATCGCCAAAATAGCAGCCTCTAACAATCTTACGTACGCCATTTTCTGGGGAAACAAAACATTTAGTTAGTCTACTTTCAGGATGATTTCCCATATATAAACATTTTTATTGTTCGAGTTTTAATGGGCTTATACGTATTGTCCAAGATTTGAAAAGATTACTCGAAAGTCTATTAAAATGTCTGAAATAAGGTCACAGCTGTTTGTATACGCAGACGTATCTGCAAATGTATAATTTGTTAAGCCAAATATTATTTTAATTTTTGTTTTGATTTGCGTCACACATTATTTGGTAGAATAATATCTAAATTATTAACATTCTTACCCCATAACCAATTTGATTCTAATGCAATTGCTTATAAAGATGTTTTTGTGCATTTAAACAAGTCACATTTGTTTTTTTTTTGTGATGGTCAATGAACCTCAATGTGTTTAATATCAAATAACGTTTAATTATTTGGTTTATTAGCAACAAAGTTGATTGTATTACGGAACACGTGCGATATTGGATATTATTAAAACTGGTTCACGATTTGACTTACATATTATCTTATAGATATAACACTCTAAAAATGATTATTCTGGAATAGCGCATTTACTTTGAGCAGATCTTTTTATTTTTTTGTAGTTTTCAAATTTTACTTGATGTGCGATGAAAAGATCATAAATCACTTCAAACTGCCAGTAACCTCACACAATTCTATTCTAATACTTTTGAACATGTTTTTATTTTACTTGCCTTAGAAATGATTGCAAGTGGCGTACATATAAACGACTTGGAAGAATTTAAAATTGTTCACGTCTTGTCAATTAAAAATAAGTTATGTAAATGTTTAAAGACTTAACTTCTACTTTATACTTATACTTAGGAAATCCTAATGTTAAGAGTATAAGGTATTTGTTAATTATATCTCCTATTAAACTTACCCTTGAATTCCCGTTTCAAACAGGCCGTGGCATTCACGCTGAGCAGATCGTTCTCCAAAAATCGCGGCGGGGCAATAAAAGCGCAGTCACGTTTGAAATGGTTCTCGACTTCGAAATCCTCGCCACAACTCGACTCGTAGACGGATTCGCAGGCGTAACACTTGATGGCGTAAGCTAATGGCATTGGCGGGATGAAAAGACCAGAGATGCGTCTTATTTATGGCAGAAATGAGATCAGACAGGGGACAGCAGACAGCCGTCGGCAAACAGAAAACTCAAAATGCAAAGCACAAAATCGAAAAACAAATCCAAATACAAATTCAAATTCAAACAGAGCAATAACAAACCTGAGGCCAGCAGCGAGATGAGCGCGCCAAACAAAAGTAAATAATGCTGCATTGTTGATGAGAAGAAAATCGTTTTGCCACTCTTTTTCCGTTTACTTTTGTGATTTGTTTTATTTGATGTTTTTATGGAATATAATTCAAGTGGCAGGATTATTTATATCTTTGCTCAACGCAATTGAAACGATCCGCACGAGATTTAAATATAAAACGTATATCCGTTGTCTATATTATATAGCTTCAACATATAGAAATGTGTATTTTCCTTTTCTATAAATGACTTTTACATATTTTGTTTGCTTTCAGCCCGTAAGGAAATTAAAATGTAAACACGCGTTGCCAATTTTCCCTGAGTTTTTATTCAACTTTCCCCGATTTTCCCGGCTAAATTCTTGGAGCCGCCTGTCAGTCGACGTCCGCAAACGAAATCGAACTAAAAGAATGCCAAAAGCATTTTCCAAATTCAACTCCTTGTCGTTTTTCTCTTGTTTTTCTGTTTCACGCTCTCTTTTTTTTCAGCGAGGGAACCACTTTATGGCCATTTCGTCTGGCGTCATCGCTCAACATTTTTAATTTGTCTTATTTTAATGAACATTTTGTGTTTTGCTCATCAACTGAGTGGAGATTTGACGCTGAACTTGTAACCCATGAGGAAGGTGGCGGGGGAACACTGGTAATTTGTGGTCAAGACCCGAGGAAAATCACAGAGAGAACGCTTTAGCTGCTTTTCCGGCTGTTCTATTATCGTCAGCCAAGAGCGTTCCAAAAGTTAAGTGAAAAAGAGAGCCACAGAAGAGAAGTTTTGTTGGCGAGGAAAAGCCTTTAAGTGTGGCCAAACACGCACGGATTTTACGCTCCACTACAGCACAGAAAATATCATTTAATAAAATCAATATCAATAAAAATCCTTTTAAGTGGACAATTATAGAAATGACAATTTCAGGACAAATTAAACGATCTTTATTGTGGAAAAAAATTGTTTAAATAGTGTAGTACAACAAAACGATTCAAAAGTGAGTACGGTAAACTGTTGTACTAGCAATTTTGATCTGGTTTTGGATAGACCAGGATAACTCCGGCATTGAGGACCAGGAAGGACGATCAATTGCACAAGTCCACGGTACAGAACTCGCAGGTGCGGCGGGGATTATCCTCACAAACTTCTGGCAAGATGCTAACATTGCGAAAGTAGCAGTTCCTAAAGATGGTTAACTCTCCTGGCAGAACTGCAATGGTGGAAATTATTATTTTATCATTTAATAAAAGAGGTATTTGAATATAGGTACTTATAATATGGTTAACCATAGCAATATATTGTTGTTTTGCATAGAAGTAAATAAATTAAAAATTTATTTCTATTGTTTTAAGTTTCTCTCTCGCTAAACATTTGACTTTTAAAAAGAAAGAAATGGAAATTTCAATTATATACTTGAATGATATTTTATTATTATTTTGTTTATATTGCTGATTGTGGTTATACAGCTGCGATCAAAATAATAGTAGTGGGACAAAGTAAAGAGCTCAAGTACATACTTTTAAGGCCAAGAAAAACTTTTCTTTGAATTTATCATAACGCTTTTTTACCAATAAATAAAATAATGTTAAAAAATCCATTGAAATTATTTTAGTCTTTCAAAGAAACTTAATGTTGTGAACAATTCATTAAAATTTTCTTTTATATTGTGGACTAAATGATTTTATTTTCATCTGCACTTAATATAACAATATAACAAATAATATGTAAAATATTTTTTAAATAAAAAGCATTAAAACTTTTTTTGTAAATCTGTTTTAAAATGTTGTTAAAATATTAAACCTATGAAAACTGTCAATATTCACATTTGCGTTATTTAAATTATAGTAAAGCTTCACGAAATTATAAACAATTGTTTCAAAAGTTGCTAAACTATTTTTGTTTGATATATCCATAAGCTTTAAACCGCAATTGTATAAACATTTCTGTAAGTGTTTTTTTTGTATTCATTGCCTTGATCTCTAATCTGATTGCGAGCTAAATCGATTCCAAAGAATGTCAATAACAATAGTTTATAATAAATATTGATAAACAAATGTTTTTATGCCAGCAATGAGTACAATAATTATAAATTGTTCATAACTAACCATATTTGACTCTGGTGTAAGCTCTTAAAAAACATGTTTATTGCGCCAATTGTTTAAATTCTAAAACAAATAGTAGTTTTCAAAAAGTAAAAAAAAAAAATGATAATTGCTTAACCTTTAAATAAAACCCATTATTTTTGATTACAAATGGAAGAACACTAGGTATCTGGTGCCATTTGGAACCGCTCTGAATAGAAACTCACAGATTTTCTTGAATCAAGCGATCCCAAATACCTTACTTACATTCGATGGTCGTTTTTTCGCAACCGGTGGCATTGGGAAACGTGAAGAAGCTGGGCAAGAATGAAGGTAGGGTAAGCTTGGAGCAATCCACAACCATACTGTCATCGGCCTTATATCGCGTTGCACAATTGGGGTTGTCAAGTGAATCGCACTGATAGCACTTGATGGCGTACCCTGCCAATCATTATATATGATGATTAAATCGGAACAGCCATTTCGATGTATTTTATACCCGTGCAGACCAAAATGGCCATAATAGTAAGAGGCAAGATCAGTTTTATACTCGACACCATTTTTCCTTTGCAAAATATTTTTGTTCAATATTTTTGAAAGCAGCCTTGATCGCACGGCTGTTGGCAAAGCGTTTGTGGACGCTGATGGTGTTCGCGATTTTCCTGGTAAATTCTTGGAGACGTATGTCGGTAGTTTTCCTCATCAACTGAGTGGAGATTGTAGAAGGTGGCGGGGGAAAATCTGGGATACTTGGTCAACCCACGGAAATTTACAGAGAGAGCGCTTTTGATTATCCGGCTGTTCTATTATCGTCAGCCGAGAGAATTCCAAAAAGTAAGTGAAAAATAGAGAAAAGCAGAAGAGTTGTTGTTGGTGAGAAAAAGCGCTTAAGTGAGGCCGGACACAAACTGATTTCCCCTCTTAAATCTCTTCTAATTACCATTATATTAACAGTTAAAAAAAACAATTAGGGAAATATAAATTTCAAATAAATAAAGTGATCTTTATTGTGGACAAAAATTGTTGAAATGGTGTATAACAATTAAAAGCGATTCAAAAATGACTTAAGCAATGTGATTAAAAGCTTTTGTATTAGCAGGCTTGATTTTGTCCAGCGGCACTACAAGAATTACTATAAAATTTAGGCCAGCAAACGAGCAACGCCGAAGAAAAGAAGGATAACTCCGGCAATGGGGGCCATGGAGGAGGATCCGTTGCACTCGTCCTTGGTGCAGACCTCGCAGCTCAACAACTTGTTTATGGGCATGCTGGGGTCAGTCTGGCATCCGGTTTGTTTGTTGCTTAAATCGCCAAAGTAGCAGCTCCTCACGATCTGGGATTGGCCAGGTACTGAAATGGCGAAAATTATTGTTTTATTATTTACAAATTACAATTGTGACTTTACTTATTTTGCGATTTATAGCATAATAAGACAGAAACCAACAAAACTTTATATGTAGTTGATCATTAAATATAAAAATAATAAATTTGGAATGGTTGCACGCAATACAACAGGAAATAAAATTGGCTTTACTATTGTACTTAAATATTTAGAAAACGAATTCAAACATTCGTTAATTAAGACCAAAAATTTCGACATTTGATTGCGTTGTGCATACTGATGTGCACGGAAATAAATATGGTGTATACTCTTCCAAAATTCTTATTTTTAGCTTTTCTTGCCTCGCGCTGAATTTTGTAAGTGCTTGAACTTTTGATTATATGTATTTTAGATGTTTAAATTCAGATTTATCGTGTTATTTCCCTTAACAACAATCATTTTCCTTTGATCCTTTGAGGGCAGTCATCAACAATTATTAAAAGCCATTGGGAAGTAATTGTAAAAAAATTACTCATGGAAAAAGGTAATAAAACATTTATTGTAAAAAAACTATCTGATATTTAAATGTGATAGTGTCACTGATGCAAATGTATATATATTCACATTAGTATATGGTGTTTTTATATTCATTTACCTAATCTCTAGGCTTAGCACGAACAAAATTGACTCTAAAGAATATTAATAACAAATAAAAAAGTCTAAAGAAAACAGAATACAAAATTTCTCAATTATAAGTAAATACCCTACCTTAGTTAAGACTTGTATAAGCTCTCAAACAAACTTTTTCCTTCCCACCTTTATGTAAAATCTAGAACACCGAGCAAATATAGCTGTGACTAATTTGTGGGCTGACTACGATGCCATTTGTCTGCCAGTTAATTACAGCTGCCACTCCCTTCACGAAAGTAGTCGGTTATTAATAAAATTAACAAACAATTATCTGAGGCGTTGTTGCGGTCAACGAGCATAAATATTCCTCCGATTCCCCCAGAGAAATCTACGGAAAACCGCGCGATAAAAAACTCTCAGTAATTATTCAGAAAACCAACTAGAAGCTAGGGAATATATATACCTGAAAATCGGCGGGCAATCAAATAAATTGCTTGAAAACGTCGAGCAAATAAATCAGCTACCGTTCATGATGAATTTATAATAAAGTGAACTTATTGCCAAGGGACGGAATTTAACCTCTGTTGCGTTACGCCTTTTATCAGTAAAAGTCTCGGAAACAAAAAGGCAGGGGTTCAGCGGGTTAAGCCAAGGGTGTAGATTATAATACAAAAATCTCACTGAAAGTTTCATTTATAAAACTGATAAACAATGAGATTCTTCTTATCTGTAGCCTTTATACTTCCTCTCTATAGATCATATTTTTTTCTTTTATAATCTACATGCAGTACATATCAAACTGGAAAGCATCCAAAAAAGACTTGTAGATTTTCAGCATTTCTAAATATAACATATATAACATAATGTTTCTTTAACAAAATAAATCACAAATTATGAAAATAAAGGACACCTGCTTGTTTAAAAATAAACTCAACTCAATAAATTTGATAGTTCTGGAGCACAGTTAATCCTTCTGTGCCTCCAAAGTCGTAGCACCAATTAATTAATCATTTTAAATGGCGTAAATGGGGATGGCTGAGCGTGGGCAATCGATTTGATGAGATCATGTTTATAGGAAGCGATCCCAATCGCCCTACTTACGATCGATTGTCTGCTTCATGCAACCGGTGGCATTGCGAACGGGGAAGAAGTTCTGCAGGAATCGGGGTGGGGCAATCCTGGTGCAATCCAAAAGCACACTATCATCCGCCTTAAAATTCATTCCACAATTGGGCTTAGTAATAGAATCGCACTGATAGCATTTGATGGCGTACCCTGCAAAAGCATGTTATATGTGTTGATCAACCCGGTAACGTAAATCCCAAAGATTTCATACCCGTGCAAGCGAAAGTGGCCAAGACAGCGAGAGTCAAGAACAGTTTTACACTCGACACCATTTTCACTTTTTTAAATGAAAATTATTATTTTTTGAATACTTCTTAAGGCAGACCTTGATGGCACGGCGGCTGGCGAGCGTTTGTGGGCTCTGAATGCTAGCGTCTGAAAGCGTTCGCTCAGTCCATTGTCCATCTTTTCACTCACTAGCATTCCGCTCAATATTCCACTCACTCAAACCCAAGCTTCCACTCGTTTTGGCTGTGAGTGGGGTGTGTACGTTGCGTGTTTGAATTTTGTTGTTTTTAAATTTGTATAGAAGCTGCCGCCGCAATGTTTTTTCACCCAACAGTTGACACACAAACGAGACGCATATATACATAAATATCAAGAATTTTTGCCGACTTGTTTGGGGTGATGTCAGCCGTTTTGGCTTGTTATTTAATGTTCGTTTTGTTTTTGGCACTCTTATGAAGACCTATTCCGATGCTCCCGAAAATAGGTTTTTTTTTTGGAGTATTGTGTATGAGATTTTTGTGCGTCGCTATGTAACACTCCGCTGAATGTCGAGTAGGTTCGAGATCCCTGGAATCGTCATCGTTTTTAAACCAGTTGCCATTTACCTTTTTGATTCTAATGCGCAGTTTGAAGCACATTCGAATATTTTACTCATTCTCATTGTTTTGCAAATTTCAGCAATTAACAACGTTCTGAGCTGTCACATTACGAAGATCGCGTACTTATCGTGTAAAACCCTTTAATTTACCGATATATGCATGATTGGATTCTGAATCACTTACTTACTGTTCGGCTGTAAAATATATATATACTTTTACTATTTTCAATTTCTAACCACTCTAATTTCAAGTTACTAATTAAATATAATTCAAATGTTTTATGTAAAAAACATTACAAAAACATTAGTTGACTTATACTCTACACTTAAGCGTTTACCCATTTTGACGAAAACTTGACGTTTGCGAACAAAAACTGTTGATTATTTTCTGTTTGATCATCTTTTATTTCAATGCCTTTTTAATTAGTTCGAAATGCATTTTCTCGTTATACTATTATTATTATTACGTTATCATTCTCCCATAAATGGTCAGCATGCAATTTAACGCCCAATTGAAATATTGTCGATTTAAATTGTTTTATTTATTTAAGCCAACGTATTTCTGTTTTTTTAATCTTGCCAGAACATGGACAGTCGGTTAAGTGGCTTTCCCACAAATTTCTATTTTCTTCAATTAAGTAATTTCTGAAATTATGCTAAATGAGTTTGGGTTAATTGGGGCGGGCGGGGGTGGAGTGTCTTCGGATGTTTCAGCTTCCAGCTTCCAGAGCTCTCGGATCTCGGATCTCGGGGTCTGGAGTTTCTTGAACTCTGCTGAACTGCATTTAACACTTTGTAAACTCGAATCCGAAGGGTAGAAGAATTACTGAAACTTGACTTGCAAATGAAATTGGAAACAATTATATGTAATTAAGCTGGCAGACGAACATAAATCCTACTTCCCGCTTACAAAAAAGGGGGGAATTGTGTGACTTTTCTTTATGAGCATACAAATTTTGGTTGTTCATGTGGGTGCACATACTAATTTGATCTCCAGGTGTTTCACACTCCAGCCCCAGAAAAATAATAAAGATTCAGATTCGGTTTAGGTTGGACTTGGAGTTCTGAGTCACTGAACTGTTTTTTGAAATTTATTATTTTATTTTTATTATTTTTTGATGACTACACTCAAAATGAGTCCACCATACAAATCGCGATTACTAGAGGTCTTCTGATTTTTTCTAAATTCAAGTAAATAAATAAGGAGTTACTCATGTCCGATGAGTTATTTGGGATGGGCCGAAGTTGTAAAGTAAATAAACAATTTGTAACACTTTTCCCCATAAGTTTTTTTTAACAAATTCGTCATTGCCTGCGCAAAATACTCATAATACAAAATGTTAGAAAAAACACGTATGTTGTTGTTAAACCAAATTTATTTCTCACAATAAATTTCTGACAAATTTGGTTCAATTTAACATATGAAATTCAATTTTCGCAAAGTTAATGAATTTGTCATTCCTTTAATACCCATTATTATTTCCACACTTTTCCTATTATAAATCATAAGACTTGGCTTCATGACATTTTTAAACTAAAACTTAACTTTGATCCAATCCAATAAGTTAATTTTTTTGAATACCTTTTTGGAAATCATTTTATAACTTTTTTTTGCAGTTCCAACGTGTGCCGGATATTGAACCACTAAGAATATAAGCAAACAAAGTGTATTTAAGAGAATATATTTACAACGAAATTCAAATAATTAGTATTCTGCACTCAAAAAATTACAATTGGAAAAGTTTTATGAAAAAGCTCTTTTTAAGACCTAAAATTCTCAATTTGAGTATAATTTTGGCGACGTTCATTCATCTAGTACGATTTGTACATTGATCAAGAAACGAAATTCTTAGTAAAAGCTTAAAAATTTCAAGGTAACATAAGACGTTTGGGAAAATTAAATCCATATAGCTTCACACCGAAAGCTAGTAATGTATTAACAAACAGACATTTCTAAATCGACCAGGATCAAAAGATCCTGTTACCTTCTGAATAAATTTTGCAAAGAATGAATTCAAAATTTTATTTGGTATATTAATAGAACACCTTCTGTTCGTCGTTTATTATCAAATTAAATTTAGAAGAAATTTACACAAAAATAGAGCCGTATGGCCAGCAATTTGTGGAACTGCGAGTTACGAGCTAGTTAAGATCTAGGCCAGCAGACGGGCCACGGCGAAGAAGAGGACGATGGCTCCGGCAACGGGGGCCAGGGAGGAGGATCCGTTGCACTCGTCCTTGGTGCAGACGTCGCAGTCCAGTTGCCTCACGAAGGGCAGCGAGGGATCCGACTGGCAGCCACCCTGTTTGTTGTTGATGTCGCCGAAGTAGCAGCTCCTCACGATCTGCGGATGTCCGGCCACTGAAATGGTAGCAGAGTGTTTGTTTTCGGATGAGTAACCGGGCCAACAACTTTCTCTGGAGGGGACTACTAAATGAACCTATTGTTCACCCAACAACCTCGCACTTGTTAATTGTTTGTTTGAATTTTGTATGACTGATACACTGTACTTTGTTGTCGTGAAAAACAAAGAAGGCTCTTTAAATACATTATTGCAATTTTCTCTGCCAATTTAATAATTAAATTGCCTTTGATAATGGACAGTTCTAAAGCTGGTTTAGCTAGAAAACCGATCAAAATGTTTATGTTTAAATTTAGAAATGCAATGTTATAAAAGCGAAAAGCTTGCGGCATACAATCTCTATCTCGTCACTGCTATTATTGTTTTATTTTTTGATTTAAATAATATTTTTTTTATAGTTGAAAACAAATAACAATATATTTATGTTAAGTTTAAAGAGTATTTTTTTTTTGGTCTGGGACTTCTACTTAGTTTGAAATTGATTTGTCTCGGTAATTTGAAAGGCTTCAGAGCTTGTTAAGCTAGATAAAGTATCATATTAATATTGACGAAGTAGTTTATCAGGTGACCTTCCTTGCAAATTAATGTAAATTATGTGAATGCGAAAAGCTTGTGGCGTTCAATCTCTATCGCGTCACTGGTAATAGGATTTTAAATTATTCTTAAATTGATACATATTTTAGTGAATCCGCGATTTCGTCTTTGCAAAATATTCTAAAAATTTTATAAGCAATCTGCCTCTGTAAGTTTACAGGCTTCAGAGCTGGTTAAGCTAGAAAAATGATCATAATATTTATGACACTAATCAATCGACTGAACTGACTTGCAAATAAATTCAGATATGTAAATTGTGTGAAAGCGAAAAGCTGGCGGCATTCAATCTCGATCTCGTCACGGCTATTATTATTTTTGATGCGAACCTAAATTGAGCTCTCAGTTTGATGTAATTACAAGAAAATAAGTCGCTGAAAAAAAACGTGACGAGAAATCACGTAAAAAGGTATTAAGTAACATCTGAAACGCAGATAGAGAGATATACGCATGACATCAGAGACTAAATACATAAACTGATTTCCTGTGATGACCTCAGGGGGCTTGTTTTAAACTTGTGGGTTTTGGGGTCTCAGTTTTTGTTATTTCTAGCTGCTGTTTTGTTATGTCTAAAGGTATTTTTATATTTTTAAGACCAAAGTTTTTTTATTAATTTTCTTGGGGTCTGCAAACTCACCGCTCTCAAGGGTCTTCTTCATGCATCCAGTGGCGTTACGCAGGGGGAAGAAATTCTGTAGGTAGCGAGGGGGTCCAATCCGGGAACAATCGATTAGTAGGTTGTCATCGGCCTCGAACTTCAGACCGCACTTGGGCGAAGTTAGGGACTCGCACTGATAGCACTTAATGGCATATGCTGAAGGGACGAGATAAGAAATTGAATTGAATGGAAAACAGATGTCTTAAAAATAATTGCTATTTGACGCGAATCGGTTTTAAGGAGATTTGGAGCTGATGTTAATCTAAATTTTACTGCAGAGACTTTAAATTAGAATTTTTTGTTTCTTAAGGTATAATATTGCTTAAGTACAAATCTTCAATGGTTTTATTTTATTTATTTATTTTTATTAAAAGCAAAATTATATTACGCCACGAGACATATTTTAATGTTTTGTGTCAAAATTATTCTTAAACGCTTGAAGTTTATGAAGATTAAATCCACACTGTCATTTTTTACTAGATTGTTTTTTTTTTATTTAATGAATAGTATTTTAAATCTATGAAATAAATAGGCATGTTATGTACTGAAAATATATTATATAAATATATCCCTTTCTTGTAAGCTATTTTACTTTGTAAGAAAATAAAGAAGATAGATATTTAAATAATCCTGAAACATTTAAAATATAAACAGAAGTATTTCACTTCAAAGGAATAAAAAGAGGTATAAATCCTCAAATTTTCCGCCAACTGGCTGTCCTTGAACTCCTTAAAATGCACCGCTTCCACTGGCCAAACTTTCAAACGCAACGCACCCGAACAGGCCAAACTGATCATAATGGCCACGGCCAAACTGGATTTCAGAGCGGACACCATTTTCACCAACACTTTGTGGAGTTAACGATTTGGAAAATTAAATATTTCGAACTTAAGCACGAGTCTCAACCGCCGTCTACGATGTCTGCTGCACGTCTGAAACTGCCGAGCGCTTCGAGTTGTTACAACAGCAACATCGCAGTTCCAGCAGCAACACCGTCGCCCCAAAAAATTAACTCAAAGTATCTGTCTCAAACTGCTGGCTCTGCTGTTTGTTTTGAGTGGAAATTTCGGTTCGATATGCAGGCTGTATTTCTAAGTCTATTCTCATTTTTAGGTCTAACCAAACCGGTTCTAGCAATTGGATTTTGTTTTTGAGGTATTGTTGTTTAGATTGTGACCTAAGTTTTTTATTGTATTGCATGCATTTACATAAATGCATTTATTTCTTTTTCGTTATATACACAAATGTGTACTTTATACAAAATCTATCAAAAACTTTAATTTATTTTGTCATTAAATATCATAAAAGTATTAAATAATAATAATGAATGTTAACAACAACTTATATATTAGGAATTGGAAAGTTGTATTAATAAGTACATACATTAGTCGTTTAAATAAAATAGCTATGAAGTAAAGTTGTTATGTTTAAGTCACGAATAGACCTATTAACATCCACACTCTAAAGTGTTGTTTACACCAGCTCGCAATTCTAAGTGACAGAATTTACTTGCTAATTCCCACATTCAAAGTATAATATCATATGATTATTTGAGTTCTTTTTAAAGATAACTAAATTTGTACAAGCATTTTAAATACCCGCCCAAAAGTATGTCATCCAATTTATAGAATAACGAATTCACGGCATCAAGAAATATTTAATAATAACATTTGGCTCATCTCATTGAGCACGATCGAATCTTAATGAGGCAGAGAGAAGGGGTGACACTAAACAACTAGGACGGCAAATAATTTGCATAAATTTAATTAGAAGTGGCCAGCTGGGCTTAAAATGGCTGAAAGGAGACTATGTTTGAGGCCAGTGGAACAAGGACAATGGCAGGATATCTGTGAGGGTTGCATTGTCCGTATGTAGGTCGACTAATTGGATTTAGCTTCTATGGCTATCAGAGTGTTTGCTTGGATTAATGAGACTGTGACAAGAAGGAAAAATATTATAGGATAAGGGACACTTTAAATATATGACATTGTCTTAATGTCCCATTCCTGTTAAACTACAAACTCAGTTGTTATTATAGTGAATATAAATAGGGATTCAATTTCCAAAGCATAATATTTCATTTTCAATGCAAAGATTTTCCGTTTGTAGCTTATGTTTTAAATATAACTAGTTATAAGAAAATATTGGTAAAATATTCAATTAATTTTACTTCAATTGTTAGACATTATCAAAGTATCATAGGTGTGAGCTCATTTTTGCATGCGAATACTTTGCGGTAGAGCCAAGCTGATAAGCTCAGATCGAAGATAACCCAGCTGCTCATAATTCAGTTCAATTTCAAGTCGCGAGATGATAAGTAAATTGTTTTTAATATTCCCTCTGCTGTTTGTTCCGGCTTTGGCTGCACTTGGAACCCAGGTGGTCAGCTATGACAACAAACGGATGCTAAAGCTGATTGAGGACCTCAATGGAACCGTTTCCGAGCAGCTTTCCCTGGTGGCAGCCACTTGGGGCAAGCTGAGAGTGGACTTCCCCAGGGATGTGGCCAAAATCGAGGACTTGGACGAGACCCTGCAGCAGGTGGTGTGCCGGAAGGAGAGGAATGTCACAGTTCGTCATCAACTCCAGGGATATCTCATTCGCGAGCAGATCCGCGAACATCTAGAGATCCTGAACACCACGGATATGTTTCAGCAAGCTTTGGCCTCGGAGGAACATGAACTGGGAAAATGGCAGTTGGCTATAGGGAAACATTCACAGAAACTCCATTGTCTCTTCAAGCCAGAGCAAATGATTAGGATCCTGCAAAGAGTTCTTCGCCGAGTTTACACCTTGGAGGGTTCCAGCAAGTTGGCTGCTTTCTTCTACCAACTCTACGTGGCTGGCAATCGGGCGTCTTACATTTCAATGGTTCAAGCGGAATTAATGCTATACGAACGCTTTAAGAATGGTGGCCAAAATAACCAGGAGTTCTCCGGCTACATGGCCAAACTTTGGCAGAGTCTTCAATTGGAAGACTTTTACTCAGGCCTGGATCAAAATACAAAACAACGCCTGGTGGATGCCATTATTGATCTACTGAAATTTCTCTAAATCCAACCCATTCAGACATCAGTTTTGTGAACTTTATTCGGTGTGTTTTGTGTAATCAAGGGCTTTAATACCTTGATTTGAATTGAGTTTTCTTTTCGTTTGTCTAGCATCTGTGACAAATACATAGGTGAAGGCTTGTGTTCTTTACATTAAAATATCATGTTGTACATAGACTATTAGTGAGTATTTACTGTGCTTGGGGGTTTAAACTCTAATATTGTTTTATGTATTTAGGTATAGTGACAATTAGATTTGTGTTGGTATTGATTTATGTATTTATAGTTTCGATTGGATTTGTTTTTGAAATTTTCCGGGCTTTGAGCTTGGCAATCATTGGCACTCGGCCAGGCAAATCATAAACTTATAGTCGAACCTTAAACTTCAATCTGAATGTAAGCTAATGAGACGGGGAGCTAGGGTCCCCACAACTAATTAAAACCGAGCTAAACGTAAACGTTAACCAGCAACAGCCTCGGCCCGTGAGGCCAGGCAAAATATCACGTTCCAACTAAAATACAATACAGAGATGCTCCGCTTAGATGGCCAACTGTTGGATTAGGGCCACGATGGGCAGTAAAATCAAGATCTCCAGCACGGAGGCTCCATTGCAGCGATCGGTGAGGCAGTCCTCGCAGAACACTCGCCGCACATTCTTCTCCGGACTGGTGATGTTGCACAGCTCCACGGGATCCGACTTGTTGGTGTAGTAGCAGAACCGCTTGGTGACCAGCTTGCCATTGTCTAGAATTTTAAATAAGATTTTTAAGTTAATATTATATAGCAATAAAAAAAGGAGTGGGGTTTTTAACCAAACATAAATGCATATTAAAATTAATTGATTTTAGTCAGCCTATCGAAGATTTTATTGATAGGGAAACATAAAAAACTGCAAATTTAAAAATAACTTAAAAAGAAACACCCACAGGTAATCCCTTTTATAAATAAATATTCATATTTTTATTCACGGTTGCTAAGTATTTAAATCAAATTCTCGTTGAAACAAATTTAAAGATGACAAGACACAAAACAAAATCCAATGTAATATTCGAATTTTTTAGACATATCTAAAGTTAATTTAGGGAACGAAGAGATAATTACAAAAAACTGCTTTTGGTTAATCAATCTTCATAAGAAATCTCCCCAGTTTGTCAGCTAAAATATTTAAAAATTGTTAAAAACTGGTCTCAAAAAAATCAGGATAAATTACTTGAAACACTCCTATTTAGTTTTCTTTTGTTTACGAAAACGTTTGGGTAATTTTAGTGAGTTTAAAAAAATAATAATTCTAAAGGCCGTGTAACCCAGAAAACATTTAAAATATGTAATTTGAAAACGATTTAAGTATTTAATAGAATGATAACAATATTTGTTGTTTTATTCAAACTTAATACTCACTCTCCTCCACGGTTTTGCGGCAAACGGCGCGTTCGTGATCGGAATTAATGGTGCTGTTGCAGCTCCTCAGCAGATTGATGTTCCGCTCCTTGATGAGGTCAGTGGGTATGTTGTCCTCCTGGAAGGTCACATCGCAAAAGTCCTCCGCCCCAATGGTGTCCGAGCTGCAGTGCCAACACTGCAAGTGGTGCTTTTGATGCTGCTCATTTCCAGCTGCAAGAAAAAAGAATAATTCCATAAGTAAAACCGACTTCAGTTGACCTTTCGTGGGGTCACCGACGGAAAATATATTTGGCAGGCAGACATGCTACTGAAAAAAAAAAACTATATTTGCGGACTAAAAATAAATGAGGGTGACACAGTTTTCTTTGCTTCCCCACAAAGGATTTCAGCTGGATGTTGACATCATCGCCTTCATGTGCCGCCCCCTTTTGAACCGCCCACTGCGAAAGTGGAGAATGCGTGGCCAGTCGATGTGGCGCCATGGGCGAATTTTATGTCGTATACGTAAATACTGGGTAATTTGTCCAAGATTTTGAAAGAATAGAAAGATGTTCATTGGGTATGAAAATTATATCATCCGTTATTAATGATCCATTAAGTACACAAAAAATTATCAGATATGCCAACAACGAATGATTGAATGAACTTTCAACATCCAGTCTTTATTTTGATCAAAAAATAAAACTTGTTCCTTGGGTTTTATTTTTTCCATAAAACTCCATCTCGATTTTTTTTTAATATATATGAGCGACTGTCAAAAAAGGAAAATAGAAACAGGTTAGGTGGACTACGAAAATAAAAAACGCATGCAAATTATTGTTAAAAACTCAGTTGATTTGCTTCTAGAAGCTTTCCGTGACCATTAGTTTTTTGTAAACAAAAATAATAAATAATGATTATTCTCGGTCCCTGTTTCTGACATATGTGAACAAGCCTGACTGTCAAACAATTCAAAAGTGTGTAGAGTAAAAAAAAATGTGCTCTGTTATTAGAGAAATCCGAAAAGTACTCTTCTTTAACTATTGTTTTTCAAACAGAAATCTATAGCATCAGTGAGATCATTTAATTAAATTGACCACTCAGTTTTTTCACCTGAACATTTGTTTCACCTAGTCTACGGACAGGATTAGGTGGCTGATGGACTTAGTCAGAAGTTTGCTGAGCAGTATAGAAGATAGTTCCAGTATTAACGTATGTTAACGTATGGAACAATCGTTTAACTTATAAAATAATTTTCAAATAACCGATTATTGTTAAAATAGTACGCATTTTGTTATATACATTTTATATAATAAAAACTGGTGAAATAGGTTTATTGATTGATAATAATAATAATAATTGCAATGGAATATTAACTTTGTTTCTTGTTTTCTTTCGCCTTATTGGATATGCAAAAATTTTTTTTATTCAATAAAACAATCTTAAGAACCTATGATTACTTTAATAGTTATAATTTAATTAAGATAATTATTATTAAATGTTTTATAAACATACGCAGAAGTTATAAAATAAGTTATTGCAATAAATTCTTTTAACTTTGATTGATTCTTTTCCTTTTTGTGAACATAGTATTATTTCGGTTCATTGTTTATTTTCCTTTTCATTATTTTTTGTTTTTCTTTCGTTCACCGCGTTCATTTCACACATCTAATTTAATTTTCCCACCCAAAACATAAGAATTCTTATAACAAACTGTTCGGATGAGTCTTCACTATTTATAGACTGAAAACAAATGATTTAATTAGAGCGAGAGCTTAGTTGATGTGAAAAATGGTGATGGTTATGGGGGGGAAACTCCTCTAATTGTGTTGATAAGGTTGCGTGATATGGCGGGACAGTAAATCAAGATCGCCGGTTGAGTCCTTGAAAGAATTTTGCATGTCCTGCCAGTTGAAAGTGCCAGGACTCGCCTTGTTTACCCCATCAAAAGGCAAACATGCCACAAGTCCAGTGGAGCACTGGGGCACCTTGAAGGCAAACAAACTTGGAAACGGGTTTCCCCAAGCAGTGGTGGCTGTCAAATATTGACTATAACATATTTATAGTTGGCTTATTCTTGCTGAATTACTTTATAACACCATAGCTAGCTGTTATATGGCTGTATATGCCTTTAATTGTCGTGTCCTTGAATTGTCAGTTGAAGACTGGTACTCCTGCCTTATATGGACTGGACATATAGAACCAGTCCACATCGTTTGTGTCCATTTTCTTTTCCTTGTTGGCTCCTTTATTCTGGTGTTTCTAGAACAATTTCAGGTAATTGGCATGGTCCTAAATTTTATAGTGTAAGTAATTGATTGTTTTCCAGCGCTCCACATAAAAAAACAAATTCTTCTAACTTTATACTATATACATAATGATTAAACATTTATCTTTTTAAGGGTTTAGTTTAAATAAATTTAAATAAAATAAATATTGTTTGTGTATGGTTTTATCTAAGAAAAAACGTTTGGTTTTGATTACAAAAATCGTTTTCCCAAAGTTTCGCTCAAGGCCTTGCAGGTATTATTAATTATAAATTCGCCTGTATTATAATACCATTCATTGCTCCCTTATTGTATAAAAAAAAAGATAGCACGTCTTTTTAGCCAACTTTATTGTGGCCTGTTCAACTGCCTTTTGTACATTTTTTCTCAGTGTATGTTATGGGCTCATCAAGGTCGCCGTCTAAGGGTTTTATATCGCCCACGCTTAACATTGTGGAAGTATTCGCTGAGGTCACGCATATGGCACGACTTGGTATGGCTTCTTTTGCAGCAGTTGTCGGGTAATTGAAAGCTAAGACTTGTTTTGGAGGAAGTTGCACTCCACGCCCCAGTGAGCGTTCTTCTTGAAACTTTCAACCCCGAAGCCCAAGAATTCCTGCTTTAAATAAACAAAACACCCCCATAAAAAATGCTAGTGCAACGATAACTTATAAAATACGATACGGATCGGATGTGTGTCAGGACAATCTCCGTTTCCTAAATGAAGGTACCCCGAACACCCTATCTACACTTATTATCAGTTTGCGCAAATTACGCAATTCATGCCAACGAAGAGAGAACTAACCCCCAATGAAGACGGCCAGACTCTGACATAGTTTTCGAAAGAGGGTTGCGATTTTTCCGGGGGGATGTCGGGATGTCGGGATGTCAGATGCCGAAGACAGCGGGAAACTGGAGCAGACGACATCCTGGCGCCACTCTGACATGCGCACTCTGCGAGTCTCGTAAATCCAGATTGAATTCACAGCAAAAACAGTACAATTAGATAATTACAGGACACCGAGCCAGGCTAATTGATAGCAACAGGAGCAGCAGGAGCTGCTGCTTCGATTCACCATCTAATGACCCAATCACAAATCCTCAATTACTCTCATCATCATCAGAACGATTCAAACATGTTCAACGGATTGCGAAAATTTGCAAACTGCATTTGGCGTTTTACATTCTGTTTGGCAAATCAACTGAACCTCGTCGAAATGGCTTTGGAAATAAATATTGAAATGTCTGGCATTCTGGCGAATATTTGTATTTATAAGGCGTGCAGGTTGCCAATCATTCAAAGGCGTGAAAATCACCGAAATGCGAAAATGCACGTGTATATAAATATATCGCTAAATAGCGATGCTCATCAAAAAAGCAATGACCCGCGATATTTTCTCAAATAAGACGAGGAAAGGTGCCGTAAGTAGATTTACTTAACTTATTTAACAAAGAATTTGTTTGTACCTTGAGGTTTACTCTCAATCAGAAATAGCATTATATACAAAAAAAAAATTTAATTCATATACTAATAAAAATAGAAAATTTTCTGAGGCACTGAAAAATATGAAAAAATAATAATGTTTTTTAATTAAGGAAACTAATTTAATTTATTGTTAATAACGAATAACAAAGTAACGCATTGGGAATAATTAAAAACAATTTTTTATAATTTGCTCCTCCTGCACATTGCCATTTTAAACTGGGTTAACCTCCTGCAACAAATAATTTTTCATCATAATTTTCAAGTGTCTTTTCTCTTTCTACACGATTTTCAACTCAAAATAAACATATGAGCACTTTCTTTATTAAAGGCCCACACCACCGCCCATTAATATTTCATTTTATCCCACTATCCGATATTAATTTGTTTACGACAGATAAAAACAGTAGACGCCTCCATCATTTTGAGTGTCGCTCATAAATCTTTTTTTTGAATCGCGAGTAACATAAAATGTGCTAAGTATGTATGTAATGGTTTCCACCTGAAACTTTTTTAGTTGTAATGCAAAATTTTGAGAATTTTCATAAACACCGCAAGGGAAAATCGTTAAATGGCTAGCGGAAAAACTACATAAACAAAATGGGGAAAATTGGAAACAAATTTTCATTCATGTGCTCTGAGTATAGAAACCATCACACCTCAAACTTTGTGCAGATCGACGACCTTGTGGGGCAGATGGAATTACAGGTGAACAGAAAAAGTTTTTTTTTTTATTATTGCTTTATGCTGACAGATTCAGAATGTGTTTATTTACATTACAAGTTTTTTTAGCTTTGGCTTTTAAAGTAATAAATGAAATAAATATAAATAAATAAATATTGAACAGGGTTTGTGTGAAGTATAACCAAACCAGAACTGTACTTTTAAATTTTAACGAGGAATAACATTTTGCACTGTGTTTAACCGAACATGGCGGGTTTTTTGGTTACAAGGACATTAAAAAGTGATTTTTTTCGGTGATCGACACTTCAGCTGTAAAACATGGCTCACCTGTGATGTGCCAGGCATTGGCCAGCAGAAAAACACCAGCCAGGAGGGCTTTAATCGGCACCGCTGACATTGCTTCTTTGGAATGTTTATGGAAATCCTTTCGGGATGCGGGATGCGGAATGCGACTTGGCGGCGCCTGTGGAAAGTGGTATACTATAGTATCCTTTGGAGGGATGCGGTGCTTGGGTTGCGAAATCGCTTCGAGAGCTGCGCGCGATGCAGACGGTTGCTCGGCCGAGGAACGACTGTGGATGTTGCCGAGGCTTCTTCGCCAGAGTGCCAAAGTTTTGGTACTCAATGTTCTGGCAGCGCAGTCGCGTCGCTGCTGGCATATTACTTGCTATTGCATTCGACTGCTGGGGAAACCCTTGCCTTCGTCCTTTTTTATTTGTTTCCTGCGAGACCCTTCAGAAACCCAAGCAGACAGGCAGCCAGACTCACGCATTCGGTGGCTTTGTTTTTACTCGTCGTTTGCCCTTTTTTTTCGATTTCAGTGAGGCAGCAGCAAACAATGCAGTTTAATTGATGACGTTGCTACTGGCAGAGTAACTGCTGTAATACCAATATGGGTAAAAATAAAGTCAAAGGAAAAACAAAAATAGAGATAAGTGGGTGTACTTATACATTAAATTTGTAAAAGTAAATAATTTAATGCGAATAAATAAATAGCATAGACATAACAATCTGATTAACAGACGACATAAGACTTAAGACAAGTTAGGCTTTCTAATTCAGTGAATAAGATAATGATTAGAGCCTTATAATATTTAATGTAAGTTTTTTATTATAGTTATATAAAAAAGAGATGGTTTGAGCAAATATTAAACAAAGGTTATCCTCAAAATTGATCACTTCAAAAAAAAAAAGTTAATTTGGTCAAACAAATCACTTAAAAAAAAGTTAATTTGGTCAAATTTACTACAGCAGTTAGTTTGACAAACTGAAAAGAAAAAGAAACTATACTAAAGTCATGCCTTAATGCCTTAAAAAATTAAAATGGTTGAATGAACCAGTTTTAATACCTAAAGTAGTATCAGTAAGTCAATTTGCAACGGAAAAGTTGTAACAACTCGCAATATTATGTACATGGTCATCCTAAAAAGAAAGGATTGCGACTCGACTAAGCGGGGACTCTAACCTCTGCTCAGAAAGCTTTTCCGTGAACATTTTTACCAGCGCATCTTTTAAATAAAATGGAAATGCCAACAATAACAAACCAAATAAATTCATATATTTAATCAACATTGCTTCAATCATTTAACACCAGTCTTCGGTTGATATAAATCAGTTTATACCTGTAGAAACTTCCCCTTCATTAAGCAGTCGACATATCTGGATCTGAATGCGTCCGGGCATTAAAAATGATTCACATCACCGCCGAAAATGATTCATGAGTGCAGGACGCCGTGGCACAACATTTGGTAACTGCAACTCGTTGGAGTTGGCCAAATTTGGCAACACTCTTACCAAATTGGCGACACACGCACCTGGCAGATATACGATTTCGTATGCAAATCTTGACCATAATCTGCGGCATTAGTTGCTCCTCCCAGTAGTCGTAGCCAAAGTTGACAAAGCGTGAAAAATGCGCACGCACCCGCAAATCGATTGGCGGATCGATTTGGATCGGGCCAAGAATAGCCGGGGTTAAGGCCTGATCGCTGGAAAATCGCATTCGAATCGCTGCCTGCGCATGCGCATGCGCACCGACCAACAGCCAACAGTTGCCCTCCGGGGCGTATGCGTAACATTCGATTGTCGATTCTCAATATTTTTGCAAAGCGGCTGCTGCCCGCTGCCCCATGATAAATGGCCAGTTTTATTGGAAACTCTGTACGACATTTTCGCCAGCCAACAACATAAGTTAAAACGACAACAAAAAATTAGAAAAAAAAACTAAAGTCCCAAAACAAATAAAAGCCGTGCGACAAGTTTAAATGGCCAAAACGCTTTATTCGCGGCTTAGTTGCCACCCATTTTATATATATATTTAGTTTACGTTATTTCACTCGATGTTGTGTGTAAGTGTTTTTCTTTTTTATGACAGCCTTCGCTTTTCGTGCCATGTGACAAATTTTATTTATATACACCGCTGGTTTTATGCGATTTTAATTAAAGCATAATAGAATTATCACGCTACCAGGCGGCACCCGAAATTTAGTAGCAATTTGTCATCGCTTTCAATCTGTGAACCCTGCGAATCTCTTGCTCAATTGACGGGGGTTCAAAGGTCATTCAGAGTTGGGAAAAAATAAAAAAAAAAAGAGTTGGCGGAGATTCTGAATTTGCGTGGTTGGCAATTAACGAATTTCACCAATTGAATGACAGACTGAACTCATTTCCGCTTTGCAAATACATATACCGCACCATATAATACAATGAACTGCAGGCAAGAAGGCGAACGTTCATTCCTCAAATCAAATGCAATGTCAAGCGCAGTGATGTGAGACAATTACTTTTGATTTGCCTGGCAAAATGTATTTTTAATGTGGGTTACGAGAGCTTAAGTCGGTGACTATATGCACTGCCTGTATACTATATAGAACAGGGTGTAATCTGGCTGATGTCATCACCCTACTGTAGGCATGTTTTGTTTTCCACGACTTTTGACTGCTTTAACAAAAGTATTTATTAATGGCTACCTAATATTTTCTAGAGTATTTACATTTTAAGTCTGGAGGCTCTTGAAATATTTAGTTAGCATTTCATAAATTATTTGATTTATTTTTGCCACATTTCACTTTTAAAATTTAAAGAGACATAAAACTATACTTTACAATAAGCTATTGCATTTGCTTGGAACTATTTATTTAATTAACAATTTATAAATTCTTTAATTTATTTTTGCCACATATCACTGAAGGAACAATAGCCATTGAAGAGTAAACTTTAAACACTTATTTTGTCTGACATCCTTTGGTTAATTTTTAATGAAGTCGTTGTCCAGATCAAGGGTTACAGAGAGTATAGAAAATTTTGTTTCGTCTTTCGGAATTTTAAGCCTATTATCTCTTCTAAAAACAGATCAATTTTGTTGCCCCAAAATGGTGCAATCAGCACTGGGTACGCATCCCACCTTGTAGATCCTGAAGGGCACGTTGTAACGTCGCTCGTCCAAAGTGATCAGCATGCAGTTGAGGAGCTGCTGCAACTGCCGCATTCTGAGGACATAGGGCGCAGTCTCGCAGTCCTTGAAAAGGGGCGCTCCCTTCGCCTGGCAGTGGAACAGGAAGAAGGCTCCTCCGGAGGCGAACTCTGGAATAAATCCGAAGGCCAGCGCTTGATCCCTAAGCTGTAAGATTCCAGTTTGCAGGTGCCGGGCAAAGAATACACTTAGGGCAGCACCCAAGCTCTTGGTTCTGTGGTACAACTTGCCCGAGGAGAACTTTTCGATGTCCAGCCAAAAGTGGCGACCATCCAGGCAGCACGAGGTGTTCAAAGTCTCCAGGGAGAGTGGTCCCACCAAATCCCTGCGCTGCCTGGCCGCCAAACTTTCTTCGTAGTAGCTATGGCCGTTCAACATGATCATGTCCAACATCCCGGAGTCCCAGGAGTCCAGCGAATGGAAACTGCCGGCACAACAGGCTAGCACACAGCAGGCCAACGTTTTGCCGGAAGGTGAAGCACTTCCGGATGAGGATTCCAACGATGTGCCAGTCTCCTCGGGCTTCACTTGCTGGCATGTGCCCCACAATGACCACAATCGGTTGGATATCTCCACCTCGTAGCTGTCCGCCTTAACAACACTGTCACTATCGCTACTCCTCCGCGGTTGTCCTTCAGCATTGTGATCCAGGAGGCGACTCCACAACGGCAAAGGACTCGCAGAATAACGATGAACTGCGTCCGTGGCCTTCCTACGGAAGGAGGTGGATTTTTTATTGGGTGGTACCCACATTTTCATGTTTGGGTAGAGGATGTCAGGTGTTTCAAGGCCAAAATGATTGTGGTTTCTTTTATTCACTTTTAAAATGAAAAATATTTTGTCGATATGGTTAATATTTTACCTTTTAAAATTTTAAAAACCTAAAGGTTTTGCTTTCTTTAATAACATTAATCTATAAAACTTTGATTTATTAATATTAATTACTTATTAATTTACTTAGACTTTTCTAGATTTTTAATTTTATGAATATAGTTTTTATGTGAAATTTAAAGTTATTTTAAGGTAATCGTTTTATATTCCGTATCCTATCATAAACCTATTAAATCTGAAAAATTTAAAACACAAACTCCCTTTCCTTGTTTTTATGGATTTATAAAATGCAATATATTTTGTGGATATGGATTTTATAGCAATGTTATATTTATTATCCTTCCAAACCATCATATTGAATGTTCTAAAACCTTAATAAAATCCATTCTTTTATACCATCTAATTACGATTTTTTATTTACGTAGAGGCAGCACCCGAAGGTTCTTTCAATTACAAGTACAATAATAAAGATATTACAAAGATGTACAAATTACAACAAAGTTAAGTGTGATCGAGTGTCGAATGATGGGCTTTGAGTTGTGATTACGAGTAATTGCTTGATTTCCGTGGGCGGGTGAGGTGTGATAGTGACGAATGGGTGACCCGATGGCCAGTGCATTCGGTGTCTCCAGTGATTTGTGCGGATTCGTGAGGGCAAAGTGACTAAAAACTCGTTGCAGAAATTCAGTTAGGTCCGGTCTGAGCACCGAAATTCCCGGCCAGCACTTTAACTTCAGCTTGCAGTCCCGTAATTAAGTCCGGGCCGGAGCCGCATGCTCATTTGCATAGCGGCAAGTGCCGGAATGCTGCCACCAGCAGGGGCAGTGTCAGGAGCAGGAGCAGCGGGGTGGAGCCACTGCCGCCGTTGCAGCCGTCGGTGGTGCAGGTGCGGCAGTAGACGGTCTTTATGTAGGACGAGGTCTGGTCGTTGGCGCACTTGTCCGCCGAATCGTCCATGTCCTCGTAAAAACAGGAACGCGAAATCACCCGCTTGCCATAGACTGAAAAGGGAAAGCATCGTTTAAATATTTTCATTTGAGCATTTTAATTAATGTCTGTGTCTCTCTGTGTGCGCATTAAATTTAATTTATGTGAACGTGCCGGCGTGGGCAGCGTATTCGAGTCATGAAAAAATCTCTGAAATGACATTTCAAATTGCTGCAAGATGGAAAAAAAAATCCGCAATGTGGTCATAGCTTACGAGCCAATATCTAAAGCTGTAATACATAAAAAGCAGGATCACCCAAAAATAAAAGCAAAAAATGAACAACCTTTTTTGAAAAATAAGCAGCAAAACGATTGTGAAACAAGAAAGGAAGCAAGCTTCGGCAAGCCGAAGTAAATGTACTCTTGCAGCTATTTCACAATGGAAATATTCTTGAAAACATATAAGTTTTGATTTATTTGCGTATATATTAAAAAACATTGAACCTATGATGATTTTCAGCTCAATTGTTCGACCGTTCCCATGATATCGTTTTCCGATTTGAATAAAATTAAAAGCTTTATTTTGAAGTACCAAACTATTACTATATCAAAAAGAAATAAAAAAAATTTTTTTTTAAATAAGGAAGTCAAATTTTTTATATATATATTTTTTTAATATTTTGATTGCTTCCATGGGAGCTACATGATATAGTATTCCGATTTTGATGAAATGTAAACCGTAAATCTGAAATGTATAACAATTACTATATCTCAAAGAACGAAAAAAAATGGATTTTATGGCTATTTCAACACAGGCAAAACAAGAACTTTATTTTTGTGTACAATTCCTGTATTAGATTTCAGTGTCTAATTGTGTGAAATTTTAGTTTTTGGTTCGTTAATACCGCTATCCAATTACGAGAATTTGTGAATAGCAAAAATGTATGTATAAGACTTCACAATAATATTGATTTAATTATTGATTTTCGCAACAAAGAAAGTATTGTGCGGAGGTTGTTGCTGACCCCTTACAACCTGCAAGGGGTTCAAGGCAACTAATGTTTAAGTCCGGCAAAAAATCGACGCAAAATGAGGCTGCGCAGCCTGCGAAACGCACACGATTCGCCAAATCGTACCTGAAACTCGACGAAACCAGTGACAATTTGCAATCAGACGGCAAATGAAAACCAGAAAGAGCAAATCGCGCAAAAAAAAAAATCACAACAAATTACGTGTTGTGTGTGTGCAGCAAATAGAACAAAACGACAAACTACCACAAAAAGTTTCCAATGGAATACAGCAAGAGCGAACTTTAAAAGCCGCTCGAAATGGTCAAAGCAGGCCATTTTTGTGATTGGCTAAGACGGTGGACAGTGGGCCACAATCGGGCTAATAAAATTGTTGACAATTGTCGCCTTATCACGGCCGTCGCATCAAACAAGGCTCAGAACCACCATCAGAATGCAGCGGCCGCCGTGTGTGCCACATTGCGCATACGCCGCGTGCTCCGCTCGCCAGAGCAGCGCTGCCAAAAATGCCGCTTGGACATTGTCTACCGCACACTCAGTGTAATAAATTTAAATTTTAATTAATTTAATTGCTTTTGGCTCGTTTTGTATGTTTAGTGAAAAAATTGTTACAGCAAACAGGGAAAATCAAAGTGAAAATGAATATACTACTTTTGTAGTACACCGAATTTATTTTACTCTCGGGAAAACTTGTAATTGGGGAATATAATGTTATAAATATAACATTCTACTGACAATACTTTAATCAGGTTCAGCAAATTTAAAAATGAGTCATTTGATAATAGACTTATATCATAATAAATTTTTCCCAAGTTCGTTTAAATTTTAGGCTTTAAACTGTAAAAAATGGAACTTTCCCACAGGAAAAATAAATCTATAATTATTATTGAAAAGCCAATTGCGCAAACACATTCAAGCCCAAAATAGTTAACATGTTAAGTACAATTTATATATCAAATATTGACGTTATATATCTTTTCCTTTTGGTTTGAAAATTCCCCGGAGAAAAGAGCCAGAAATAAGCTGTTAGCCGCCAAAAATGGTCCTAGGCCGACTAACAAATTTTTTTTGGTCTGGAGCCAAAGCAACTGGTTGCAAAATATTTGCGGGCGCACAATAAAATCAACAACCTGCAGCTAATTGCTTGGCTTCATATTTTGGCATTATGGAATACATTTTTAATTTGACATTTGCCAAAAAGTTAGCCACTCGTTTAAGCTGAACTTCATAAGCAATTAATTTAACGGCAAATAAACAGCCAGATGGCAACAACAAGTTGCATCGCCTAGTTGCATTTTATTTCAGACACATTCTATTGCCGCAAGCCCCGGTTTACCCCTCCGTCCAATGGACTCGTAATTGAGCGCTTCACGCTGTGCAACAACTTAATTAATTTATATGTATTTTGTGTATTTTTTCCTTAGCCCGTTCGGCCCGTATATTATGTATTTTGCGCACTACAAGCGCTGCTCATGTAGCTCGGGGACCAAAACTCAGTCAGAGATATAGATATAGCGACGGTTGAGAGTCTGCAATTGCAATTTTAATTGCCAACTGCCAAGCTCAAATCTTGCAAATATTCGCCGGGCCAATTTGTAGACGCATGATTGCAAAAATTTAATGGTGTTCATTAATTGGCCATAAGAAATGGCTTTAATGCGACTCAAGAAATCCCAGCCGCCGCTTTTTACAAACAGCTTTTGATGGGTCTCAAATTGCCTTGATTTAATTTGTAGTACTGTAAGTAACTATCTTGCTGATAGGTTTAGAAGTTTAGAGCTATTAAAAATGATCTAACTTTACCTCAGCTTTTTGACTTTTAAACCATTTACTAAATAACTTTGTTAATAAGTCTAAAAACTGACAAGTTTATAATTAAATAATGGCCTTTGTGGCGGCTTTAATTTGTATTTATGTAATTGTATTATTAAAATGAATGCATTTGACTATACCTATAAATTACGGCTACGCCATATTTGTATGCATTGTTAATAAATTTTATTGTTTATTTCTATTTAAAGCTTTCAATAAAGTTTTTCCAAACGCACTTACATCATTTAAAGTCAACATATTTTGTTTTCATGGTTTGACTGACCCACATTAAAATCGGAACCCGACTCGGCTCGTCTGCCGGTTGACAAATTTATGCGCTGGCCAACAATGCAAAGTGAATTTAGATCAAAATGTAACGACACGGATCGCTTGACGAATTTCATTTTGCTTTGTTTTGATCTGTTTTTCTTGTCGTCATATGCAAATGTACAAATTGTTTTGGCCACAGACAACAATAAAACTAGCACTAAACCAGGCGGACAACATAGTAAAATCGGACTTGATAATGCCGAAGCCCACCACGAAATATCACTCAAACGCCCCGTGTGCCGGCTCTTTCTCCACATAAATTTGCCGTAAATTAGCGGCACATGCAACTGCAACTGGGGGCCAAAATGTCGCCACTTGTCTTTGTTGCTGTTGTTGCCGTTGTTGTTGTTGCGCCGCCCGACCACCAGCCACCAGCCACGCCCCCTTTGAACGCCCAGCAACAGCGGCAGCAGCAGCAGCTGCAGTGTAGATCTGAGCCGTTCCATTGGCAATTGTTGCTGTTGTGTCGCCGCCTGCACTTGTTTTGACTTTGTCAGGGCAATAAATTTCAATCTTGTTTGACTCTCGACCACAGCCGGGTGTGAGTCGCGTCGATCTAGCGATCCTAGCCCACAACAAAATCGACAGTCTGAGAAAATTACAATTGACATCGTAATACATTCCATGTTTTTGGGAAAGAATTTTTGATTTGATTTCATTATTTATCTGAATTTAGCCTTGTATGACAGCCTTTTAATAATAACTCATTTACTATTTGATGCACATACAATTCTTCTTTTAATATATATGTCCACTTTTTAAGGTTTCATGGTTTTGTTCTATTTAAAAAGAAAAAAAAACATTTTCAAACATTCACTAGTCATTTAAATAAAAAAAAACGAATTCATTATGTTATATATATGTTATATATTCTATGTTTTATAGTTGTGCCATTTTGTTTTTTATTTGCTTGCTAAAGACAACATTATTTTATTCCTGCCTGAAATATTTATTTTAAGTAAAATATGTATTTAAGTATCCAGCTTTTTAATGAATATATATTTAATTTGGTTTTCAATAGTGTTTTTCACTAACATCGTCTGCTTTGTTTTCTAAATTTGTATGGACCATGGAATGGTTTTTTTTTTCAGTGTAGCCTGTCCAAAGACCGCACAAGCGGTCACAACAATGCAAATGCAACGGGTGCACAATTACTCATGCTGTGGATTTTTTCTTTTTGAGGTTCACTGACACTAAGCGTAATATGTTGGTTTGTGGGCGTGGTAGGGGGAGGTGGAGGGTTTTGGGTTCGATCTCACCTTCCTGGACGAGTTTTTTACAGACGGGCCGCGCATTCACCGACTTTGCGCCCACCGAATAGGTGCAATTCACATAGCTCCAATAGCGCTGCTGCTCAGAAATGGTGTCCGGCAAAAAGGGATCGTTGCAGAATTCTCCGTTTGAGACGTCCGTCGAGCAACGCCAACAGCGCAACACGGCAGATGCTGAAATGGGTAGTAAACATAAATTAATTGAGGCATTTTCAATTCATTGCAGGGCAAAACAAAAAAATACCCAACACATGCTTTCTGGCCTGATCAATTGAAATTCCTAATTGGCTAAATTTGTAAGAACTATTTCATACATTTCGAAATCAATTGAGTTTGTAATGCGCTATGGGTTAAATTCGGTTTATTCAGCTTTGAAAACAGTTGTGGTTAACAAGTGGATAATGATGTAATACCAGGTAATTTAAGTAACTCTTAATAAGCATTTCTATATTCTTTAACTTAAAATGACTTACATTTAATTTGACTGTATTTAATATTTTTTGTGAACTGGTTTTGTTATTCTGGTGTGTTTTAGCTGGCTCAATCAGACTTTTAGCCAGCTAAAACAGACCAGAATATTTTGAATATATTTAAATATTGCTTATAACTAATTTACCACAATTTGAACTTCATTTATAATCCCAAAGCTTATCTTAACTGATTTGCCATGTTGCACGGACCACCTACCAGCAAAACGAAAATAAAGTAACTAACAAATTCTTGCTTTCCGAATCCATAACCGTTCGACCAATGAATCGCATACCATCATAATCAAATGAAATAGCCGCTAAGCTAAGCCATAATTTCCTGCTGCGTGCGATGCCGTTGGCGGAAATCTTTGAAATATCGCCGAACAGCCACTAGTTTCAGTCGGGAGCCTTTCGGTCGAGTTATTTATGCGACAGGCTATGGGGTAACTGCCTTATAAAAGTGTCAAAAAGTTCAGCTACGGCTGGTTTATGCGTGCGATTAGCCACTGCGACTAGTGTGTAAATAATTATTTGATTAAACTGAGCCAACGATTGTTAAATGCACCGCAACAAAAATCTTTCTAATATCTAATACTCTGGTCAAGGGTGAATGAGAAAATATTGCAGATATTATTGGTGTGAACTAAGATAAGTGATTTTGAAAATACAAGAACGAAGTTTGCCAATCGGTAAATATTGTATTTTGTTTTGTTTTATCTTAAAGAAAAGTCAAGGAAATATGTTAGATTTTATATAGATATTCTTTTTGCGTGTGGTTTTGAGAATGGTTGAGTGATGATGATGACTGCGGCTGTGATGGCGGCCATAAAACTCGTTTCTCTGGCCAATTTAAACGTCAAACGTTAACGTTCGGGTTAAATGCACTTAGCCAACACTTTGAGGTGCGTTTAAACGAAAGCCTAGATAAGTCGAAAGGCGGTAAAGGGGAGTGGGGAGAGGGGGGAAAGGGGAACGGGGAACGGAAAAAGGCCGGAGAAGTGTGCCAACGCATTGGCCGAAAAACGTGTTTTCGGCCAGCGACCGCATTTGGCCATAAACAACCAGCATAAACATTGCAATTTGCGTTCGATTCGCATTCGCATTGGCAGTTGGCAATTCCACGCAATTGAGAGTCATGGGCCGAGAAAAACAGCCGCGAAAACTGCCGCGAAAACTGCGGCGTAACCAAGATGGAAATTATAATCATTTACAATATATTGAAATTAATTGACAGTTGAATTGTCAGATCGTTTGCAGAATTGTTTATTTGCGCGTCCGCTCGAAGTCGGTGGCAGTTTACTAATGGTAATGACTGTAATTCCATGGAAACTGAAAATTGATATTGTGACTGTCAGTGGTTGTGGTTGCATTATGCCAACCGTTGTGGCAGCCGCAGCCGCAACTGCCCGCCAAACATGGTCAAAAACATACGAGTCCGAATCCGAAATCGAATCCAAATCCGAGTCCCATTCCGAATTTAATTTGGGCCCGAATGGTGGCCGCTAAGTGCGTAAGTATTTGTTGGACGAGATGTTTTCGCCGATAGTTTTGGCCATCGGAATTTGGCTTTAATCATCGTAGCAAAAAATTAGCAGGCAGGTAGGAAAAAGTTATGTCTCAAACAGTTCTTTGTAAACCCTTACTCATTTAAAGTAATATTACATAATATTAGACCCTCAAATGCATTTGTGAATAAATTTATTTGTCAAAATATATTCGCTTATCTCTTTCCATTAAAATATAGGAAATATTATTTAGTTGAGTCCATTTATCTAGGTTGTATTATTATGTCCTTTTAATTTAAAATACATTTTGTTGAAGTGCTAAATTTGTTATGATAAATTATATGATACAAAAGTTAAAAATATTTACTTCGTAAAATGTATGTTCTTTCCCTTATATTTTTCCATTTAAATATTACAATTATTTTTCAAGCTTTAGATTATTTCCATTATATGCCATTAAGCTGTCAATGGTTCAATGCTGTTAATAGTTTATTCCTTTTTATAAATAATTAATGACTATGTATATAAATAAGCCTTGCCATTTTGCACCACCCACAATTTGTACCCTTTTCTGGATATTATTGCTGCCCTTTTTAATGCATTTCCAACTCTGTCAGGCCTATAAAATTGCTAAAGTTTATTGCCCTTTGCGAGCGTATCGGCATATGGAATTGCAGCATATACCAGGCCGAAAGTACAAGACGTCAACAATGGGGCAAAAAGTTTCCCACACAGCGACCATTGAGTTTACATGCAATTTTTCCATTAAGCTCCACAAACTTGAGGCGAGCTGCAAGTTGGACTTGCAACATTTGAGATCTGCCCCCAAACATCTATAATACATTTGAAACCCTACGACTTTGCCCCCAAAGAAACGTGTTGATTGTCAGCCCTTTTTTCCACATTTCCCCCTCAAAACTCCCACAAAGTGACGTCCATATCGCAGCGCATTAAACTTGGAAACTTACGAGTGTGTGGAATTTACTTCAGAGGGTGGGTATACAACTCTGTGACCCTAAAAAGTAACAGAGGTTCGGTTGGAGCTTCGATAGAAAGTTTCACTTTGCCTTGGACCGACATGCAATCTCAGTTCGTTCAACTGTGAAAATGCCAAATGCAAAAACCCTGTCGAACGTTTATCAAAATTGCAGCACATTTGTCCCAAATGCCTAAATAATTAGCTAGATAGGTGGTTATTCAAAAAATGTAAAGGGAAGGGCTATGGGAGTGTATTGCCAAGGCAATTAACATTTTTCTTAGATTTCATCCACGAACAGATACATTTTATTAAGATATGTCGTAATCAACGCTTAGATGTTTTAAAATACATGGTATATAAAATGTTTACTGCTGTCACTATACATTATTTTTGTACAGCACTTAACGCATTTAATGCATATTTTACAAAGTATTCTAAAACAGATATACACTATATAGAAAATGGCTCAAAATTGTGAAGGAGAACTGTGCAATCTTATAAGTTAAATTACATATATGTATATTTATTGGTTCAGAAAGTACAAACAAATATCCACTACATCATCATTACATTTTACGGCAAAAAGTTATGGTTTTATTTTTCACATTTGTGCAACGTTGTGTCATTAGCATTCTTGTGTTGAGCAATATCAAAAAGTTTATTTCGACTCATTATGTGCAAGCCTTGGTCTTAAAAAAACACAAGTAATTTAGTATTCAAAATATTGCATGTTACTTATAAAATCAAATGTATTTAAAAGAATTAAGTCGCATATTTCTTCGATTGATTGGAAACAGTAATGAAGACAAAAAAAAATTAAGAGTTTCAAGGCAACAATTTTTACTAAGCATGGTTCTTTAACAAGGATTCAATATTGATACCAAATCTCTAATCGAAAATCGTTTTCTTCGATTTGTTGTTACAATAACGCAATCAATAATAACTACGCTAGCTCGTGTGGAAAGCATTACTTGCACATTCTCAGATTGCAGTGGGTGTGTTTGGCGCTGTTAGGGACTTTAATTTTCATTTTCGAGCTGACTGCGTTTTGTGTTCAAGCAAATTGCAGTGAATTAGTAAGCAACTGAATGGATTTAATTAGGCTAGGCACAGTCAACAACAACAGCGGCTGATTATTAATTAAGACGATCTGCCGACTGCGATGGCGAACTGACATTTAAGATTATGCGAAGGTTAAGGCTGGATATGCCTCATCGAGTATCTGACAAGCAGATGAGCTGTTTATATTAGCTTATATAATTACATGTACTCGGCCATACCCTTATTTTTTTGATTATTCCTATATCGTACTAGTTGATCTAAGCTTAGTCATTTTTATGGAGGTGGACCTGAGTGGTCAGTTTGGTTTAATGCCAATCAAAGTTGTCATTTGCCGCTCCCACGCAACATAAACACAAATAAACTTTTAATTGATGACATGACGAGATATGTGGCACGCTTTTTCATGGAACATTTCAGGTAAGTTTGAGTAATTGCCGAGACATCAAATAAAAATTCTTTTATGCCTCTTTTTTGCGTAATGAAGAAATTTCCAGCCATTAAGTGAGAACGGAATTTAAAATTTCTCCACATTTCCCTCCGACATTTACCTGGCTATTTATAATATTTATTTCGCTGCATTTTTAAGGTTGAGAAAATATTTTTGTGCTCATTACGTTCGAACGTTGTGCGTTCAAAGTTAAAATAAACACAAATGAGCCGCGGGAAAATATCGAACAAGTGCGTAAATAATACAAAATCATGGAAAATAATAAATTTCATTCTCTTAAATTTCAGCGGTTTTAAGAGGATTCCAGCTTTGCAGACAATTACTTTGATAATGCAAATTATGCCAAAAAGTTCACACATATGGCCATGCATTTTAAAAATTCTATCAATGAGGTCAGGCAGGAAAAACAATTGATTGCAAGAAATAATCATTTAGTATTTACAAGTAATAATCAGAGTGCGAAAAAAAAAATAATTTAAAAATAATAAACAACAAACGTAATTCGTATAATGTTCCGCAAATGTATTTTATTCTTTTTCACTTTATGATTCTTTAAATATTCGGGGCAAAACTTTAGCAACCATATTTTTAGAGTAATTTAATTTGTTTTTGAAGAAGTACAACTTTAGTGGAAATTCAATTTCTACTTAACGCCTTTTACTTAGCTTTGGTGTGTATTAAATTTGCTATTATTTATTTGTGTTTAAGAAAAAAAAACAATATTTATGCGAAATAATCAGGAATTTAATATACATTTAAAATAGAAACTGCGCTTTTTTCAATATATTCAACATTTCTTTAATACAAATTTTGCAGTCTTTCAGCTGCTGTCAAATACTTTAATCTGACTGAGTTTTCCCCCTATTTTCCGCATAAGCGAACCCTTTTTGATTTGGTTCAGTGAACTCCAGCTAGCTGTTTTTTGCACATTTGAATGAGAAATCACGCTCACGCACTTAAGTTAGTCGAAGCTACCAGAAAGCCCCACCCATTTTGACTAATTAGCTGCAATTTCATGCGAAGTCAGTGCTGGTGGAAAAAATGGGGTCCTGAAACCCACCTGTATTGAAAAACATCAGCAGGGATAATAGGCCCAGTAAAAGGCAGCCTGTTGAACCGTAGGATGTCATGTTTTTAATTTTTTCTTTTATTCCTTTGTTGAAACTTAAAGGTATTTCACTGCACAACCACTGCACTTTAAGAGGGGTTTTAAATTTTTGTATTTCTTGTGGCTTATTGTATTCCCAACAAATATTAGCTCTGCGCGATTTTCCGAACACGCATGCGACCCGTTGACAAACTGACTGCGAACTGAACTGAAACGAACTGAAGCTGAAGCTGAAAACTGAACACTGAACACTGAATACTGAACACTACGCGACAATTGAACCAATAACAAAACGAACCCAACCCCAACGCACACGAATCGCCATGAGAGAGATCGTTGAAAGCGAACGGTTGAAACGGCCAGCGATTGAAAGAGTGCCGCTTTCAACAAGAAAAAGAAATCATTTTCGGTGGGCCAAGGGGGGCTATTTACTGTTGCTTGGACTCGGATTGGGTTGAGTGGATTTGAGTGGTGCGACGCTGGGTCGGGTTTACGAGTTTACTGCTCCGCGATATGGCTGCACTTTTTTAATGGTGCCCGCAAACACTTGCAGTTTCAGTGGCAACGCAGTGGTAAAAAATTAAAAAAATTTTAATAATACGTTTTATTTGTAAAATCAATTGATTGAAACATTTACAAACGTTTAAGCTTAGTTTAACATAGTGCAATCATTTTTTAAGTAAGCTAAAAATGTTTAGGAAACACTCACAATATAATTTAACTTACTATATATAATTCAGTATTGACAGTGATTTACCAAGAAAAGCCATACCTATATGGTCATATTTATATAACCACTTCACATAGCAGCGATAATTTTTCCAAAGCATAATATCTTCACAAAATGTGTAATCAGTCATCCCTTTACAATGATTCAAATCATCTCGTTAGGAAACTAACTGTTGATGTATGATTCATTCTACCTTAGATGAACTACTTCTCGGTGCAATTTATGTATCTTGACCCACTGTGCGCTGCACTGTCGATGCGTTTTACCACACCATTTGACGCCTAATGGCAGCCACCGTCGCCGTTTCAATCGTCATCGTCACTCTTGCACCCTCAGACATTTTCTGTGCAATACTCACTTCGATTCGACCATCAGTGTCGCCCGTCTAATCAAGTGCAACTCTCTGATAAGGAAATGAATTCGAGGGAGGAGGAATATTTCGTAGGGGACAAATTGGCTTTGCCACCAAAAAACGTTGCAAGTACTTAATGCTTTTCCAATTGAAATCGGAAAGTGTGGGTATATTGAGGTTTCGTCTTTCATTGCCTCTGCGGTTGAGTGAGTGCGTTCGAATTTAATAAAGTTTGTTTTGGTCTTGGATTAGTCGCCAAAAACTGGAATTTTTTTACGACTTTTTGTGGGAATAAAACCAGTGCGAGTCAGTTATAAAAACGTTTTATTAGATGCATTTTATTTTAAAAGAGGAAAGTATAAACAAGTTTAATATAGCTTATAAGCTTAACGTAAACTTTAATTTCGTTTCAAGATTTGGTTTTAAATCTATTTGGGAGGATCATTAAAACATATAATAGGTAATTCTGTTCTTGAAAAAATAAATAAGCTACGTTGTATCAGTGATATATACATATATTTCAAAACTTTTTTAAAAAATAGAATTGGATAAAAATCATTAAAACACTACAAATATTCAAGTAATAACTAAAAATACTTTTGGTCTTTATTTTTCTTTTAGTTTCAACCACTTCTCCAAATATAAATGTAGTAATAACCAAAAATACATTTAGTATGTTGTTCTTAGAAATTTCATACAATTATAGAATAAAGTTTTTGTAAGACCAATTGTAGTCCAAAGCCAAGACAAGTGGAATGGCCAGACAAATAATCGCCTAAACACTTCCACCTCAATCCCAAACAATCCCATAGAAAATCTATATGTCGTTCGATTTACTCAAATCCGTATACAAATTTTACTGCAACACAAATAGAGCGACAAGCACAATAGAAATTATAGTACTTGGACATGAAAAATGAGTTGAGAAAGTTCATTGGACATGAAATATGTCACTTTTGGCTAGAAAATCCAATAAACTACGCCTTCTACGTTGAAATTGGGGTATGATAAAGCAAAACCCTATAGAGTAAGGCGAAGACAACCATCCACTAGATTGATTGTTCTTAGTCCAGATATACAAGTCCAAGAAAATTGAACAATGACGTGCGGGTTCCCTTAGGGTACTTTGCATGATTAGTCAGATTTTTTCCGATTTATTGATCAAATTCCATTGTTGGCTGCAAACAAATTAGAAAATAATTGAAGCCAGCTCCAGGAAATCGATTAAGAATAGTTCAGCTTACTAAGAACTTATGTTGGTCATTATGCTGAAAGCGATTTAGGAGCAGCAATTAACATCTAAAGGTGTATAGTAGTTAATATTAGAGAAATTCAATAATTAAGCTGATGAATTGTCTGAAAGATTCTCAATCCATCGAAATTATATTTAATTCGATCTTGTCACGTATCAGCATTTCCGTCAGCCAAATCTTGTTTGCTCGAACAATTCTCATCTGCGTCTCAGTCACTGAAAATGATTATGACAAATCGCCGCTGAAAACAGTTTCGCTTGCTTGACTAAATCACTTTGAACAGCAGCTCATGTAGTGACGATGGGCACCAAGAGGCTACTAAATATAGCCTCAAAATTTAAATTGTGCTGTGATGGTCCGATCATAACTAGAAATACACCAATCGCAAGGTATTAATCTGTATAACTGTAGTTAACTGTAGTTAAAACAAAAACTTCTGAAAAACCATGAAGCATTCGACTAAATAAATACACTTTTAAAAAAGTTCTTATTCGTCACTGGCATTTTTATTACAGGTTGCCTTAATTATAGGTTGGTTGTTATAGCAACTCCCAAAAAATGTATTGTAGCTCAGAGCACTATTTATCTGAGACAATTTGCTTACAACGTTCATTAAAAAAGCGGAAATTAGTAATTGCCTGACTTCAGAAGTTTAATTTCTGGCAATTAAAAAATGTTCAACTTAAAGATGCCAGAAAGAAAAGTAAGTTACTAAGTATGAGAAACAATGTAATTATAATTAGTCGATAATAATGTTAGTATCATGTCAATTAAGTGAAATCAAAAGACAATAAAATAGTAAAGTTACGATTTTATTTATGTAACTGAATAAAACAAAACTTGCTTTAAAAGGTTGAAGTCCATCTTTTAGGCATTGCTAAAATGGTATTACTGTAATTCCGTTAAAAATAAAATTTTATATACTATTAAATTCACGAAACACAAATTAAATAAATCAATGCAATCTGCATAAATTATAATAATAATAAGTTGTGTTATTTTTAGTATATGTATGAGCCATACGATAAAGAGATCTCAAAAAAAGTTGCTTGGGAAATTTGTAAGCCAGTGAATCACGTAGGTAAACCACCCTTTATCACAACCATTTAGCCAATACTAAAACCCGATCGCCATGGAAACATTAAACTATAAATTCCGCTTGACAACCAAACTTCGTAGCCCAAACAAAGACAATAGTTTGGTTTTTAGTTGTGAAAAATATTATCGGTATGAAGTTGCGAACGCGGGTCTGCAAAAAAGACTCTATAAAAAACTCAGAGGTTCCAGAGGAGGATAGCCGTAAGACCACAAATTATCCCCTGAGTTGTGTAGATTGGAGCAGCAATGAGGATATCTATTTTGTGAGGTGAGAGGACTTTAGTAAGCAGGATTAAAAAAATAAAGAACGCTTAATGTTACATTCTTTCCAACAGCGATGACCACCAGATCTTCAAGTGGAGCGATGTGAGCCGGGACTCGGTAGAGGTGGCCAAGTTGCCGGATGACTTTGTGCCTACGGATCTGCACTGGCTTCTGCTGGGCGGCAGGAGCAGTGGTGGTGGAAAAGGCAGCGACACTTTGCTGATTTGTAGTAATGACGGCCGATTCGTAATACTAAACAAAAGTGCCCGTGTGGAGCGGAGCATTTCGGCCCATGGAGCGGCCATAAGCTCTGGCCGCTGGAGTCCCGATGGAGCCGGACTATTGACCGCCGGCGAGGATGGCGTGATCAAGATCTGGTCACGATCGGGAATGCTGCGATCCACGGTGGTGCAGAATGAGGAGGCCATCCACTGTGCTCGCTGGGCGCCCAATTCCACCTCTATCGTCTTTTGCCAGGGCGGACACATATCCATCAAGCCACTTGCTGCCAACAGTAAACTTATTAGGGTTAGTATATAGGAAAAGAATTTTTAACTTATGAGTAGCAGAGCTTAAGAAAAGATTTATTACAAATTGTGTTAGTTCTTTTACATTTAAAGATCCCATACAGTCATGGAATGAATATATGAATTAATAGTTTTACAATAATTTTAAAAGGAGATATGACGTTACGTCAGAGAAAGTAATATAAATATTATATTTAAGATAATTTATGTTTGAATTTTAATAAAACATAAATTTAGTAATATTAGTAACGGCATTTGAACTACGATTTATTTTTCGGTCTCCCATTTTAAACGATGGATCGTCATTTTTAAATTTGATTACAGCTGAGATAACACAGATCAATTTTTTTATTGCAACTCTTGAGAATAAAAAGAAACTAAATAAATTCTTCTCAATTAAAAATGACCAGAGCAAAGTAATTTCTATCCAGGCTTAAAAATAATTAGTTAATTTCATTACTTATTTCTCCCATTTTAGTGGCGTGCCCATGATGGCCTGGTGCTTTCGCTCAGCTGGTCCACTCAATCCAACGTGATAGCCTCCGGCGGCGAGGACTTTCGCTTCAAGATCTGGGATGAGCAGGGAGCAAATCTTTTTACCAGTGCCGCAGAGGAATATGCCATTACCAGTGTGGCATTTAATCCTGAAAAGGATTACCTATTGGTCGGCACATTCAATCTGCTCAAATTGTGTCACAGCAGTGGGGTGAGTTCTCATCAGAATTATATGATTCAAATTTCTAAAATGCCGATGAATTTCCATTTTAGTGGTCCTACAACAGCGCTCGGTTCCCAACCCCTAGTGTGGGTTCCTTCTTCAGCCTTTCCTGGTCAGCCGATGGCACTCAAGTTGCCTGTGGCTCCTCCACGGGTCAACTGATTGTGGCCTATGCCATTGAGCAGCAATTAATTTCCAGAAACCTCAAGGCGACCAGCAAAAGCCGCAAATCAATTGCCTTGAAGGACATTGCCACTGGCACTCAGGATGTCCTGGATTTTCCCCAGCGGGTGGTTAATTTCGCTCTGGGCTATGGGCATCTGGTGGTGGCCACCACCCATCAAGTACACATCTATAACGAGAAGTACATCAATACGCCTATTATTATCGATGGCAGAAACGATACAAGGGTCATTGAAGTGGGCAAAAAGTGAGTAGCATAATGTTTAGTTGGTTTAGTTATTTAATTTTGTATATATTAAGGCCTGAAAAAAAATATAAGATTAAATATACAGCAATATTAGAGCACTAATTTCCAAATATTATCAGTTTACATGACCAAATTCAAAGCAAAAAAATGACAATAATTAATAAATAATTAATAATTAGTTGGTTTAGTTATTTTATTTTGTATATATTAAATATAAAATTAACTTAAAGCATTATTAGGGCCTAATTTCCAAATATTTTCAGTTAACATGACCAGATCCAAAGCAAAATAAAACAATACAAAAATTGAAATTATTTGTTATTTATTACATCTATTACGAGCATAAGGAAAAATGTGATACGTATGTGAAACATGTTAGTGAGAAACTCTATAGTTTATATATATTATTTTTTGAACTAGAAAATCAAAACAACAAATAAATAAATACAAAACGCAAAAAACTACAGGCAGTAGTTTTAATAAGTATTAAGGCCTTATTTTTAACGTCTTATCGAGAAATTTTTCATACCCAATAGTTTAAAATTCATGTAAAAATAGTTAAGTTTTGATGACAATTTCTTTTTGGGAATACATATGTACTAGGAATTTTTCTTATTACTTTTGTGCTTACTCGATTTATATTTAATTGCAAATACAATTTGTTTCCTCTTTCAGATACTTTATGATCTTGGATGCCTCATCGATATGGGTGTACACCTATACGGGTCGTTTGCACCTGAATCCACGCTATCCCGGCTCCCAGGCGCAGATTCCCCTGCTCACCTGGCGCTCACTCTCACTGGGTCTGGATGTCCTGGCCATTAGGGATAATTCCGATATGACTTTGCTGCACCTGTTCGACCTAATACCAGGTGCCTCGAGGCAGTACGATCCCCATTCACTGAGGGCCAAGCAGCAACTGGCCCAGATTGCAGCCTGTCGAGCGGGAACTGCCGATGATCAGTTTGTGGCCTTCATCGACGCCAATCGGGAGCTGTTTGTGAGTGAGACCCGGAACCTGAGTGGCGAACGCACGGATGAGATCTACAAGATAGGCACCCAATTAACCGCGATCAAGTGGGCCAGCGAGACAAACATCCTGGTGGGTGTGCACGACTCCTGCTACAGCATCTGGTATTGTCCCGGCGAAGGGGCGGCTGATCCCACGATAATTGCCCTGACCACTGTGACTCTGGATACGGCGTGAGTACAAAAGATTGCCCGTAAAAATAAATAACTTTAAAAACTTTTATTACTCTATTTAGGGACTTCTTTTTTGAAAACTATAAAAATATGTGTAATATATATAAATGAGTTATAAATTCGATGCATGTTTTCATTAATGATATATGATTTTTCCCAGCTTTTCTGTTTTACGCCATCAATTTACATCTTTCCAAACACTTTAAAGATTTCTTTAGTGAGAGTTCTTTATCAAAATTTGTATATGACATTTTTCTGGAAACTGGCAAAAAAACCTAAAACTGTTTGGAAAAAATATTTAAACAAGAATCGGTTTCCCTGCTCTTGTGGTTTAAAAACAGTAAAAATCGTCATTGTTCCAAATATTTTTTTTAACAAATATAATTTGTTGTGACTAAGGATGGGAATAAGGGAATAATTTATATATATAATATATTGTATTTATAAAAGGACTAATTGCTAAAGTAATATAATAAATTATTTTAATTTTTTTTTAACTTTTTTTAGTGAATTTGGCAAGCATATAACCCTTGAGAGTTTCGAGGACGCGGTGGTCACATTTCGCTGCGCCGGTGCCCTGCTCCCAGTCAATGTGAACATCTACTGCGAGGTCCTGCATCGCGCTCTGCTCGAGGGCCAATGGCAGCAGGCGCTGAAGATCTGCCGGATGGGCCAGCATGCCAGCTTGTGGGCCACCCTGGCTGCGGTGGCCACCAGGAAGCACCAGCTGCAGATCAGCGAGGAGGCCTACGCGGCGGCCCTGCAGATCGACAAGGTGAGCTACCTGCAGCACCTGAAGACCCTGACGCCCTCGAGTGCCGAGCAGATGGCCGAGAACTCACTGATGCTGGGCAGGATGCTGGAGGCGGAGACGATCCTGCTGCATGGCAAGAAAATCGAGCAGGCGGTGGGTCTCTCCCTGCGGATGCACAACTGGCGAAGGGCCCTGGAAATCGCCCAGAAACATAGGACGGAGGAACCAGACCTGATGCCGCGGGTTCTCCACGAGAGAATCAAGTATCTGAAGGCCCTGCAGCGCGAGGAGTGGGATCCCCTCTACCTGCCCCATGTCGTCAAGAAAGAGGCGGATAGTCCAAGTGAATAAAAGATGTATTACTAACTTATATTTTATTATTATCTATCTGTTGCCAAAGCAGAAACATTATTACGAATAGTTATTAAAGAATTTCTATAGCTTTCAGACTGAAAGTTTCAGTAACTTTTTGGTCCTTTGATCCTTTTTCAAACAATTACCATATAAGGTTTATATTATAAAGGTACATCTTTATTGCTTTTTAATAAGCGGGTGACAACATAGGTTCACCAGCCAATCCTCGAAGCACATTGAGCGAGGCCAAAGTGGCAGCATCGATGCGCGTTCTCTTGGTGGCATAGCCCACATGTGGAGTGACCACTGTAAGGGAAGAAAAAATAAGTGAAGTACCTTATGATAATGGGACTAAAAAGCTAAGAAACAAAAATTCAAAAGAAAATATGGGAGCGATTACTCTCTCTGTTTACTTTCTTGAACAAAAATATGTTATTTGACCTTTAACTTCGACAAAAAGGTCGTTGAAAAATATGTTTAGAATTTAATTAATAAAAAACTCCAATTGACTAAAACCATTTAAAAAAAGCTAAGACTACTCACCAACATTATCTAGAGCCAGTAGTTTGTCTTTGGACGGAAGAGGCTCTGGATCCATAACATCTAGGCCAGCTGCAAATATTCGTTTTGATTTGAGGGCATCATAAAGATCATCCTGGTTGACAATTTCTAAAACAGAATGTAAACTTACATAAAATATTTTATATAATAAATTGTTATAGTTATACTTACTGCCTCGTCCAACGTTGATCAGCACTGCTGTTCTCTTCATTCTATTAAATGCGCTGGCATTGAACAAGCCCTGGGTTTCCTTTGTCAATGGTGATGCAATGACAAGAAAATCACTTTCCGCCAGGAGAGTATCGAAATCGATCTTCTTGGCGTTGAATTGCTCCTCGATTTCCTTACTCACACGATTCCTAGTGGTGTAGAGCACTCGATCGATATCGAATCCGGATAATCGCTTGGCCACAGCCTGGCCAATGCCTCCAAAGCCATAGAATCCCACGGTGGAGCCACGAATGTCTTGTCCCAGCAGCCAGTCCAGATGGTCTTTATCCCAATTGTCACTTAAATGTATAATTAAATATAATAGTTCAATAAATTGTGGGAAAGTAATTCTTTCGTAAATGTAACTTGTATCACTCAGAATAGGCAATAATGTTATATAAGTTAGTACATCTTCCTCTTGATGAATCACATTGATTGCATCCTTCTTGCTCAGTCAGTTTTTAGATTTATCGGAAAATATTCTCAGTCTTGTAAATTACTCAAAATAGTTTGATAAGGCTAACCGATTTTTGATGAAACAAAATTTTTTTAATATAATCGTAGAACTGATTTTTCACCTGTCTATCTTTCTTCGACCCTCCTGAAATCTACGAGCTGCAGCGATTAGTAATCCCACGGCCAGATCGGCCACCGCCACAGTTAGCATCGCAGGAGTACTGCCCAGTGGAATACCCCTCTTCTTTAGCTCTGGGACATCGACATTGTTGATTCCCGAGGACATGGTGGATACCGCTTTGAATTGCGGACCAGCGGCATCCAAAATTTCAGCATTGAGGATATCTCGACCGCCCCAAATGGCAGCGTGAACGCCCTTGATCTTCTCCAGAATCTCGAGCCTGTTGTTGGGTGGTTCGCTTTCCACTTGAAGGATTTCGCATTTCTCCTTTAGGACTTCTAGACCCTCGGGGGGAACATCAGTATGCGCGATCAGCACTTTGAAATGCTTATTTGCTAACATTTTCGGGGCACTTTAATGGCAAAACAGATATAATTTGATGGTTAAAATAATTAGAAGTGTGATGACAAGCACTTGGTAGATAATCACCGTATGGATATTTCCGAAGTACTCTCTCTTCTCTCGTCGAAATTTAATAACGAGCTTTTTGTGGTAGCTCTTACTTATATTCTCGTAACTCTGTTTAGAAACTCTTAAATAGCTAATAATAATATTTTTTAGCACTATAGTTTTCAGTGGCTCTTTTGTTTAACGACTGACAAACTATTAGCTCTGGTGGCAGACTTTTATAGAGTACTAGATAATGGAAGCACTTATCACCTGAAAAACTGACAACGAAATGCATAGAAAGTTTTTATAGTGAACTTTCTATGAAAAAATAATAGAAAATAACATTATATTTTTGAATTTAAAAACATAAATATAGATTTGTTCAGCCACATTATGTGCGGTTACAACTAATATTAAAAAGACTTAGATCTTCGAAAAATAATTAATGAATCCTTTTTAATTTTGCTTGCCTCAAGATTACAAAAATAAAATTGTAAACAAAAATATTGAATTAGAAAAATAAAACATCAAATTAATTTGTACCTAATTCAAAATTTATTGGTTTAAAGTTTTTTAATTTTCAATTTCAGTTGAAGTTAATATAGTTTTGACTACTTCTTATTTTTTCTCAGTAGGCAGGCCTGACCATGGGCTTACCGTCGAAGGCATTTAAGATGTTATTTGCAGCTAGTAAACTCATTTCAATGGTTGTCTTCATGGTCTGAGTACCCATATGTGGAAGGATAACTTTAAGAAAAGAAAAAGTATTTATAGATCAACCCAAAAAAAGGATAGTTCAATTCCAACTCACCGCAATTTGGCAGCTTAAGAAGAGGATTGTCGGCGGGCAGTGGTTCTGGAGTGGTGACATCCAAGCCGGCGGCAAAAATCTTGCCATTTGTCAAAGCATCATGCAGATCGGGTTGATTGACAAGGCCTAAAAGTAAACAACTATATTAAGTCTCTAATTTAATACATATGTTTAAGAACTTACCCCCTCTGGCTACATTGACAAACACCGAGCTCTTTTTCATTTGCTGGAAGGCCAGGGCATTGAACTTATCCCTAGTTTCGTTTGTGAGTGGGGCTGCTACCACCAGAAAATCACTGTCCTTTAAAAGCTTTTCGAAGGATACGTGCTCAGCCTTAAAGTCCCCGTCGTTTTCCTTTCTGGTGCGAGTGTGGTAAATGATTTTGGCCACATCCCAGCACTGCAAACGCTTTGCAATCGCCTGACTGATTCCACCAAAACCAAAAAAACCAATCACGGAATCTCGGATTTCCTGACCCATCATCCAGTTGATCTGCTCGGTTTTCCATTGTGAACTGGTAGAAATTTTTAGAATATTATAGTTCAAAACAATATAATATGTAATAGAGCTCTTAAATTCAGAAAAGTCTGCTTCTAAATAAATAAAATTTAAAATCGTATTTCTTCGGATTTTAAAATTTTAATGCACGGGTTAAAACTGAATGTAATGATTTCTCAATGTCATGTTAACGGTTAGTTTGTAGTCTGTTAGGAAAAGTAACTATAAAGTCAAATCGTTCTCTTTTATCAATGTGATGATCATTTTTCGAACGACTCTGGGTATACGAATTCAAAAGCAATTCGGATGGTCTAGCCATAAAAATAAAAGTTTTGCTTACCGATAAATATTAACTAGAAAATGTACTCTTTTCAGTCAGAAAAACTCAATTAATATATTAAGAAAAAAAGAGCGTTCCTAAAGGCCAGTTAACTTAATGTTAAAACTTAAAACGACACTCTTAAATAGAGTATATAATACCTGGCCACTTGGCAACCCTTGTCCGAAAAGCTTTCTATATGAAAAGCTTTCTTTCTCTTTGTATACAAATGCCAAAAATCAGCTGTTAATACCTCTCTATTTCGGTGCGTCCGGCGTGAAAATGCCGTCCGGCTGCAATCATTAAACCAATGGCCAGATCGGCCACCGAGTTCTTCACCACTCCGGGTGTATGACCCAGGGGGATTTGCCGCTTTTGGAACTCGGGCACGTCCACAAAATCGATTCCCGAGGACATGGTGCTCACGCAGCGCAACTGCGATCCGGCAGCATCCAAGATTCCGGCATTCAAGGGTTGATAGTGGGCCCAATAGATGGCATCCACGCCGGGCACTTTCTTCAGGATCTCCTCCCTTGAAGGCGGCACACTCTGGCAGATGATGGTTTCCGCTCCGCGGGATCGAAGCAGTTCCAAGGCCGGTACAGGGACATTTGGATGCGAAACGAGCACTTTGAAGACACTGGCGGTTCGAGACATATCAGTGCAAAGTACAGGGATTAAGCTATCAACTATCAGCGGTCAGTTGCAGCGGCAAACTGTTTAGTGGAATTTTCCCAACCCAAAACAATTCTCAAGCTTTTTTCGTTCTGTCTCCCTTAAGCTCAAATTGAGCTCTTAAGATTACTCTTTGGTTTGTGACGTAGTAGCATGCAAGTTAAAGTAGTTCGCATTATACTCTTAAGAGGGGGTCCTATAACTTTTAAAAATGCGTAAAAATGTATCAAACATATTTTATAGCTAATATAGTAAAACACAAGTCGCATTAAACAACTATAACTTAAAAAAATGTAGATTAAAATAATAATGTCCATATCTAAAACAGTTTTATTTAAGTGTCTAATCTAGCTAAAGGCACTTTAAGGAAAATAGAATATTTAGTCACTTCTTTTTGTCAATATTAAATTGGAATTATTTTTACTTGTTTAACTTGTATATTTTTTAAGCCGTTTTTCCTTTAATAGGTATCTAAAATTGTAAGTATTTAACTCTTTCTAGGCCACTAAATAATATTTATTAGTTTTCCTGAGAATTTCTGTGATTAAAAAGCGATCCCTTGATTAACTAGATCCATACATTATTTTATAAAGTTACATTAAAAACAAAGCTCCCAGACTATTTGAAAGGGTAATTACATTTTCCAGCCCTGAAATCAGTAATCAACCATATTTAAAGTAACTTTAACTTTGCATTAGCAACACTTGAGTTTTTTACAATTTAATTTTTATTTTCACATCTACAAGCATGCCAAGGTCACAAAGCGGCCTTTCACACTTCACTGGATTAGCTTCCCACACTGGTTAATGCTCAAATGCTATTTTCCATTTGAATTTCCTAGTAGGCGGGCGACAGCATGGGCTCCCCAGCCAATCCTCGCAGAACATTATGGGCGGCAATAGTGGCCATATCGGCACGGGTGCGATTTGTGGCGGATCCAATATGAGGTAGAATAACTGAAAGTTGTAAAAAAAAAAAACAGCAAATGATAAGTTAAAGATAATGCTAGGAAAGACTCGAATAATAAATCACAGAAAAATACGAACTTCAAAGTTAGAAGACGAAAAATTGACAAAATAAAGAAACATAAACTGTAACCTACAATTTTTGATAACCTTCAAGAAACCTTACTAAAATCTCTTCGCAATACTTTAAGACATTGTCAACTAACTCAACTGATAAGACCAAATCGCAATATTGATAAGGCGTCCACAAATACGAGTATTTTGTAGGTGGGAGCCCAAACGTCAGGTAGATAACTATAAACCGAAATTATTTTGATTGTCCCACTCACCGACATTGTCGAGCGTCAGCAGTTTGTCCTTGGGCGACAGAGGTTCCGGATCCGTGACGTCCAGACCGGCGGAGAAGATTCGGTTCGACTTGAGAGCCTCATAGAGGTCGTTTTGGTTGACAATTTCTGGGTGGTGGCGTAAATCATTTAAAGAGTCTGTCCAAATTACATTTAGTTAAAAAATACTTACTGCCTCTGGCAATATTGATCAGTACAGCGGTCTCCTTCATTTTGTTGAAGGCGGTGGCATTGAACACACCCTGTGTGTCCTTTGTTAGAGGCGAGGCAATGACAATAAAGTCACTCTGCGCCAAAAGAGTATCGAAATCGACCTTCTTGGCATTGAACTCCTCCTCGATCTCCTTGTGAACCCGACGGCGGGTGGTGTACAGCACCTTATCAATGTCGAATCCGGACAGACGCTTGGCAATTGCCTGGCCAATGCCTCCAAAGCCATAGAATCCCACGGTGGAGTCACGGATGTCCTGGCCCAGCAGCCAGTTGAGATGGTAGTTTTCCCACTGGTCACTAAATTTGAGGATAGAAGCGTTTAAATTGAGAACTTAAACCCTTAATATTTTCCAAATATACGATTATATTTGTAGAAAAGCGTAAATAAGAAAAAGATAAATAAGAAAAAGAATTTTAGCCCCAAAACTTATCAACATTTAACAATTTTGTTTCTCACAAAAAAATCATAAAAATGGATTAATGTCAAATAAAATACTTAAAAATATATTTAAAATACAAATAGGTCTATTCAAAACCATTTAAAAACAATAATGAAAGGAAATATAAGTGAAATTTTTCTAAGCATATTTTAAAATGTTTCTTGACATTTTGAGAATAGAATAAATTTAAAAAAAAAAACAACTTTACATAAAAGAAAATGTTGAACTTCTTATGCTTAAAGATAAACAAGAAATTAAATTCTGCAAAATAAAAATAACATTAAGACAAAATATAATTTTGTAATATTAAAACAAATATTTATAAATTCTATTTTTGTACCAAATCCATGAAACTTTTTATAAAACTCCACCAAAACATTTTTTTGAATAGGAAACAAACACTGTAGGGAACTTCTAAAACTAACATTTAAAGCGATTGCAAAGAAACTAACCTTGTAAATTCTTTATAAAATTCATTATATTGCACTCACTTGTCGATCTTCTTGCGACCCTCGTGGAAGCGGCGACTGGCGGCGATGAGGAGACCCACTGCCAAATCGGCCACGGCGGTATTGAGAACGGTGGGAGTGTGTCCCAGGGGGATCTTCCGCTTCTTCAGCTCCGGCACATCCACGTAGTCGATGCCCGCCGACATGGTGGATATGGATTTCAGCTGGGGACCGGCGGCATCGAGGGCCTCGGCATTGAGGGGTTCATGGCCAGCCCAGAGGACTCCATCCACTCCGCGGATTTTGTCCAAAAGTTCCGCCCTGTTGATGGGAACGCTCTGCACCTGGACGATCTCGCAGTTCTCCTTGAGCAGATCAATGCCCTCCTGGGGCACTTCGGGATGGGTAACCAGGACCTTGAAAGCCTTGCCAGCGGACATGGTGCGGTTTTGATTCTGATTTCTGCTGCCCCTGCGTGGGAGGGAGGCATTAATATCGCCGATCGCCAAGGCCACCACCATCAGTACTGCCAGCGGCAACGAGAGCTGAGCTATAGATCTCATCTTGAAACGCGCTACGATCGAAGTCGAGTTTCGCGAGCGACTGAACTGAAAAGCGGCATACGCACCCGGCTTTAAAGAGCGACGAGG